ACGTCATTATATGCAAATTCGTATTTTGAGTTCCAAGGCCATTATGATGATGTCACGATACACTTAATGGTCAAATGAGACATGGAATCATTTCTCCGACTCATACTCTATCTAAATATGAAAACAAATTGAAGGTCACGGCTCATTCCAAAGAGCTATAATGGATTTTGTATAGGCATGTTTTTGCCCATATATGCTATGTATTAATAGAGCTCGCGCGCACAGACGTTTATCTTGAATTGACGCTCATCTTGTTATTAATGGTCATAAAGAGATAAACATGGTATCAAATTCCTCGAAAAAATATGAGAAATATCATGAAAGAAAAAAAAATGGCGATTCTATGTTTTGTAATGTTGTTACGCGCGAAAACGCGCGCGCATGCTCGTACGCGCGATTTTTTATAAAATGCTTAAAATGACCTGAAACGTATGCAAAAAAAATTTGAGACGATTTTGAGCATTTTAAATTTTTGCGCGCGCACTGACGCGCGGATGTTCGCGCACGCGCGCGCTTTTTGACATGAAATTGACCGGACTGATATTTACCTTGATCATGATAAATATGAATGAAAAATAAATTACCGTTATGAAAATATGATCATGAGTAAATTTTCAGAAAATTTCACAAAATGGCGCCTAGATGACGTCATCAGTCAAGGTCAAGGTTTAAAACCTTACCGTGTTTTCTCCATATGCCTATACATATGTGTGCCAAATTTCAAGTTATTTGATTTAGCCATTTTCAAGTTATTTTGCTAACAAAAAGTGGGTCGAAATAAGAAAAATAAACTAGATTTGTAATACTTGTTTGGAACAAGTATAGGTGGGCTGATCCAACAAAAAATTGAGACAAAGTAAAGGGTACATTTGAAATAGCTTTTTGTCTCAGCTACAACATATTCGGAGTTCAGCGTAAATGAAGCTAACACGACGTAGATATTGCTCGCGAAAGACGGGAATGTAGAATCAAGTTTTGAGAAAAAGTCATGTCCCATAGAGAATACACGCAAAATGTGAAAAAATTGGCATGCCTCCTTTAATCGCAAAAATACGCCATGATGCCTTTGTCAAAATGAAAAATTGTGACAATTGGATTTGTAGAGAATTGTCTCAGCTAGAACATATCAAAATTTTGAAGAAAATTAATCAATTTTTAGAAAGATACAATCAATTTTCCAAAAAAATGCTGACGTCATAATAGGCAAATTGAAATTTTGAGTTCGGAGGCCATTATGATGACGTCATGAGTTAATTGAGGGTCAAATGAGACATGAAATCATATCTCTGATTTATACTCGCTCAAAATATGAAAAAAAATTGGGGTCACCTTGCATCCTAAAGAGCTATAATGGATTTTGCATAGGCATGTTTTTGCCCATATATGCTATGTATTACAAGAGCTCGCGCGCATTGAAATTTATGTTAAACGGTCGATTATTCAATTATTTATAGTCATAAAGAGACAAACATGGTATCAATTTGTTTGTAAGAATATGTGGAATATTATGAAAGAAAAAAAATGTCGATTCTATGGTGTCTAATAGTTTTACGCGCGAAAACGCGCGCGCATGCGCGTGTGCGCGATTTTTTTAAAAAATGCTTAGAATGGCCTAAAACGTATGCAAAATGATTTTGAGACGATTTTGAGCATTTCAAAATTTTGCGCGCGCATTGACGCGCGGACGTACGCGCACGCGCGCGTTATTTGACCTGAAATTGACCGGACGGATATTGACCCTGATCATGATAAATATGAATCAGAAATACCTTTTGGTTATGAAGATATGATCAGGAGTTGATTTTCGTAAAATTTTACAAAATGGCGCCTAGATGACGTCATCAGTGAAGGTCAATGTTGAAAACGTTATTGTGCTTTGTACATATGCCTATACATATGTGTGCCAAATTTCAAATTATTTGATTGAGCCATTTCCAAGTTATCTTGCCAACAAAAAAAGTGGTTAGAAATAAGAAAAATATATAATAAATAATAAATAAATAAAGGCAATTCTAACGAAATTATAAGGTGGTCTGTACGTTATACAGCCCACCTGATAATAAATAAAGGCGATTTTAACAAAAATATAAGGTGGTCTGTATCAGATACAGCCCACCTGATAAATAATAAAGGCGATTTTAACAAAAATATAAGGTGGTCTGTATTAGATACAGCCCACCTGATAATAAATAAATAAATAATAAAGGCAATTTTAACAAAAATATAAGGTGGTCTGTATTAGATACAGCCCACCTAATAAATAAATAATAAATAATAAAGGCAATTTTAACAAAAATATAAGGTGGTCTGTATTAGATACAGCCCACCTGATAAATAAAGGCAATTTTAACAAAAATATAAGGTGGTCTGTATTAGATACAGCCCACCTAATAATAAATAATAAAGGCGATTTTAACAAAAATATAAGGTGGTCTGTATTAGATACAGCCCACCTGATAAAGAAAATTCTGACGAAAACAATAGGTGATCTGTCGTTGACAGACCACCTAATGATAAATAAATAAATAAATAAAGAAAGAAAGAAAATTCTGACGAAAACAATAGGTGATCTGTCGTTGACAGACCACCTAATAAATAAATAATAAAAATCTTGACGAAATCAAAAGGTGATACGTAGACTTCGTTACGTATCACCTAATAAATATTACATATTATAAGCACACAACAATAAGTTAAGTAAAATAAGCAAAGTACAAACACTTCAACTCTCTATAAGACAAGAGAAAGTAAAATAGAGAGAAGAAAAACAATATATAAAGGGGGAAAAGAAAGGAAAGGAAAACAAGATAACAATGAAAGAGGATTTAGATATAAAATTAGAAAGAAGAAAAAAAGCCAACAACTGTGCTGATTAATAATTATTTAGTAGTAAGATTTTATATTGTTTTCTAAAGGAAGATATGAATTGCGATTTCGTTATTACTTGGGGAATCATATTCCACAGTTTAGGACCTAAATGACTCATTGATTTAGCTTCATAACTAGACTTAACAGACCATAAATGAAATTTGTTGGAAAGCCGTGTATTATAATTATGAATTTGACTATTATATTGAAAGAGGTCTGAAAAGGGGGCAGGTAACAACTTGTTTTTATATTTGTACATGAACGTTGCGATTTCTTGCTTATTTATATCATATATATTCAATAACGATAGCTTCTTAAACAAAGGTGCGGATGGTGGTAGATAATGAGAATTGGTAGCTATTCTTAAACATTTCTTTTGAAGTTTAGATAGTGAGTTTAATTCAGTTTGTGTTGCATTAGTGGCCCATTCAATATTACAATATTTCAAATAAGGGAAAATAATGAGGATTAATGCCCCACAAAAGGGCACTAATATAGCACATCGACACGGTTTTGATCATTACTGTCATTTATGACTTGAGGGCGTAGGTCCCCTAGTTAATAAGCATAGTAGCATACACATGCTTTAGCAGTCCCGCAAAAACACACATTGGCAAATTATTATTCAATAAAATCTGAGAATGTATACTATTATCTAGATCTATTATTTTTAAATAATTTTTAAAATAATTCCATTAATTGGGGTAAAACTAAATATTCCACCTTTATAAGCGACAGTGTACTATACTTTTAATCGAGGTATATTCATTTCACGTGGGATTCAAATCATCCCGTAATCATTAACACATCTTTTCGTCTAAAAATATTCCCACGCCTCCTTCTTCTACCAACTTTTCTGTTATTATTAATTAAATTATATCCATCCAACATGTAACAATTTTCGTTTTCTGAATTCAGCCACGTCTCTGTTATACCAATAGCCGTAACATTTAAAGAAAGGCTGCTAAGATAGGCAGAAATTTGATCACAATTTTTGGCCATACTCCTCGAGTTAAAGTGTATAGCACTAAATTGTACTAAATTTGGATCTATAGACTCTTTGAATTCATCTTCCAAATAATTTTTGCATTCATTTACATATTGTTGATCAAAGTCAGAATCAAGAATTGGAATAGAATCGTTTAATCTTACATCTTCACTCATGTCATTTAAATCATCGTAAGTTATACGTATTTTGTTTACTTGTGCAACACAGTTAAGGTATTCATCATTGTTGACAGAAAATAATGGAAAGACAGGACACAAATTCATAGACAAGCAAAATACGGGAACAAAATATTCATAAAAAAACTACGTAAACTACAAAATTAAACAGGTCTATTGAGTAGTCCAAATTAATATATGTATATTTCTATATATATATATATGTATATATATAATATATCGGGCAAAAACAAAACGGAAAATATGAAATTGAATGCATATGAAAATGCATCAGTGAAAATGATTGTATACTAGTATTTGTTCATTAATTTGTCTCTTCCCCAGTGTCAAAATTGTTCATTAACATATTTTCATTGTCCATACTAATACATTCACTGTCCATTTTATTTTCATCAGTTTCTCTCATTCGGTCATTCATTGTCTTTCTTTATAACCACTTTAATTCTTCTTTGCTACGAATCACTCGCTTGATGGTGTTTCCTCTGGTTGTGACCGCGCCGTTTGTCCTACCAGTTTCGTTTGTCCGTCGGACATAATATGCGGGTTTTCTGCTCGCACGGATCGTTCATGACTCGCACGGATCGTCCGAGGGATAATCCGTGCGGTTTGCTATCCGCACATTTTGTCCCCCCGCCCCCCCCCCCCCCCCCCCCCCCATTGTTTTACGTGTATATTTGATAAAAGGAAGCAACTCGGCAAATCAATGTATTTAGACTTATTGTAAATCATGTGGTTGACATTTTTTCTAGAAATTACATAATAATAACTCTACAATTTTTTTAAAGCAAATGGGCCAGTCCTTTTGAAAGTAGAAGTGAATATTTTCTTTAAAACCTTTTTTTTTATGAAGGCATACTCGTGATATCGGCCCCACAACTGTTGTAATCGATTATACTTTTGTACGTGGCTTCGTACTTCAACCAACTCACTACTAGTATATACTCGTGATGGCCCCGCTCCAAGTATTTGGGGGCGTTTCGACGTTTAATGAAGGAGTTAATTGGGAAATAAAAGTGATTAAAAATGGGGTTGAAAGTGAGTAGGGGAGGCTAGAGTATTTAAGATGAGGTAGAGCGTAGCACAAATTGGCGGATGCTCAGGGGGTAGGGGCATTTAATTACGGTCAGATGAGCATATTTTAATACCTTATTCATGACACTGGCAGGTTACTAATTGGCGTATGGTCCAAGGGGCGGAATCCCTGGAAGCGCAGGGGTTTTAGGCATTAAAATTAAGGTCAGATTAGCATCCAGGGGCCAGCCTTAGGTCCCAAGGTGGGGTCCAGGGGGCAGAGCCTCCGGAAGCTCAGGGGTATGGGTATTTAATTACGGTCACATGAGCATACTTTCTTTTCTATTTCTTTCAATTTAATTCTCTTTAATATACTTTTTCAAAAGTGTGGGGGGGGGGCTTGAGCCCCCTAGCCCGCAGTAGTAGGCCTCTAAATAGTAAATAAGCAAATTTCTTGCCTGACTGTAAATTTTGATATTTATCATTCTCCCACAAACGCATAAAAAGTATTATTTACTAAAAAGTGAGGAAAAATCCCGGAAAATTAGGCCGTTTCAGCAGCATCTGTAAATCACTGGTATCGAATTAGAACAAAAAATTCACTTTTAAAGTTTATTTTGGTGGGGGGGGGGTAGCAACTGGCTGAATACTTAGACCTATGGTGTCGAGGGGCTCTTTCTTTATTTTTGTTCGGTAATAAATAAGGTAAGTTTATGTGGGTTTCACTCAGGTGCGGATATACGGGGGGCGGATATACGGGGGGCGCTGTGCCCCCCCCCAAAAAAAAAAATATATATATATATTGGGGGGCTCAGATATCATTGAGCCCCCCCCCCCCCTCCCCCTCCCCAATATTTTGTTCGTGCTGATGAGATGAGGGAAGTGAATGCCGGAGATATTGACTTTGTAGCATTAACTCGGCAGCTAACAAAACTCCAAGACGTGTATGACGATGAGAGGAAACCTATCAAATACATTAAAACAATCTGTGAGATTTTCAACAACAGTCCAATCTATAAGAGATCATTCTCAGAGGTGCACATTCTTCTTCTCATTTACCTTCCCATCCCGGTTACAACGGCAACTTGCGAGAGAACATTCTCTTTCTTGAAAGGGATCAAAACTTATCTGATAAGTACAATGAACCAAAGAAAGCTCAACCAAAGCTTAATATTACTCATATATAAATGTCCTACAGATAAACTGGACTTGAAAAATATTACCCAAAACTTTGCTTCCAGGAACACAAGAAGACAAAACTTCTTTGGCACATTTGTCTGAGGCTGCATGTGCACCTCAAAAGAAGAAAAGTCTGAAATTTTTCGCCGCGATGACATAGACGAGGAATTTATTTCCAGGTGCAAATTAAAACAAAGGAGGATCTCAGAATTATTTTTTTTGGGTGGTGCCACATTTCAGTTTTTAAATATGTCCGATTATAGGCATTATAATAAAAGTTTTGTTTTTCACGTTCCTGGGGTATTATTCTTTCCAAAGGTTTTAAATGTGTGTCATTTTAACACTTAGTACTTTGTCTTACTTAATAAAAATAAACTGAATATCATACAATTCAACGATTTCTTCAAGTAGGCCTACTTTTATTAATTTCTTCAACTGCCTTAAATTAAGGCTACAAATGCTTTGTTATTGTAGAGCTGTAGTGTGAACAGGCTACTTAGTAATTCACATTTATAGATTGGTGCACATCATTATGCTTGATCATCCTCTCCTATCTGTTTGTTGTCATTCCTCTGTTAGTCATCCTTTATTTGCTACCTATGATATTTGAATATTCATTATTTCCTTTTATTATATATAAAATGAACGTGTAAATACCTATATATGCAAAATAAATCCTGGAGATTTAAAGTTGTAAAGCCCAGGGCAGTTCAACACACGCAATCATGAAATAAGGGTGTCTTCATCGAAGTGTCTCTGTAAGTTTAGAACCACGCCCTGTGCCTACCCGCTCATGCCACCCTACATTCAGGGGCGTCGCTGAGGGGGAAGGGGGGGGGGGGTGTGAGGTTGAAGCCGGTGGGATTTTTTTTTATGTCGGTCGGCCAGCAATTTTTTCCCCTTCGAACTGTGACTTTTTATCGGACAAAGAAACATTTTTTTGTAAATTCAGACAATGATTTAGAGTCGGTACAATGAATCGTCTTCTTTTTCTGATAATTTAATGAAACGTCGAAGCTCCCGCGCTTCGCGCGAAAGGGGGAAAACTGAATTCAGACAATTAGGGTTAAGAGTAGAGAACGGTATACAACAAATCGTCTTCTTTCTCTAATAAGTTGATGAAACGTCTAAGCTTCCGCGCTTCGCGTGGGATGGGGAACATCTTTCAAAAATTCGCGCGCGATTGTTTTTTTTTTTGGAGCACATATTCCTTATTATTTTATCCCAGGGACGTGATAGAGAAGGACTGGAATCAAGCCGCTCTCCTTTGACCCCATGCTCCAAGCCGCCGAAAAGTTATGCGCTAATCTGCAACTGTTGACCAGGTGGTGAGATAAAAGAGCGCATGAAATTTCAGGAGTTAGAATTCCTACATCAGAAAATGGTATCACTGCAACTGTTCGCTGTCCCTTCCAATGATTTCTCATCCATTATTGAATGTGTAAAGAGTAGAACAAGCGAACACAAACTTGTGTACTTTCATCCTTTTTTAAACTTGAAAAATACAAAAAACACGCGAAAACACGCATTAGCAAACTTAATGTTATTGAAGTTTGTAAATCATGGATCAAATAACGGGACATTAAAGCATGCACAAATTAGCGCATCATCCTAAAATATTGAGTTTTTGACAGGATGTAATTTTTCTTTTACCAACTCTGGCACACAAATTAAAGGAAGGACGGAGTTCTAAATTTAAAAATTTGTTTGATGCACTATTCCCAATAAAATCCCCATATAAAGTTTTTGATTTACACTGAAATTTTGCCGGTAATTTAATAATTTGTAATAAATGTAAAACTGGTGCCTGGCTTCCGAAAGTCCCCGCAGTGGAAGCGCGGTTCGGAGCATGGAACTTCAAAGCCAAGTGGAATGTTACACATCCCATTGTTACGCTTTAGAACTCAAGAATGCGTTTGAATAAATTGCAAGAGTTTCGCCTCCTTTTCTTTCACCTCACTGTTTTTCTTAAACACCGTCATTATTTCTTTCAAATGCAAGTGTATATATCAAATGATGGTTTCCCAATTTCTTTTAAATCTTTTGGACCTTTAGTAATTCAATAACACACAAACGATTATACATATAAAAACGGCACGGTCCATTCCTTTCAAGCTTAATTGGTACACTTATCGCCTCAAATAGTCCGAACCAGCTCAATGAATGTCAATGATGTCAGTAATAATAATATTGATAATATTTTTGCTTATATAGCGCTTAATACGTCGGGAATGTCCGAGTTTCTAAGCGCTGTACATTATTACCCCAGTCATCGGTTTCTGGCTTGGCCGCACACAAGAAGACGAACGTCCTGGGACAAGGTGTAGAAGCGCCGCCATCTATCACCATTGATGACTACGAGCTGGAAGCTGCGAACCAGTTCACATACCTTGGGTCCACCGTTTGCAGAAACCTCTCCCTAGACGCAGAGCTCAACAAGAGAATAGGAAAGGAAGCAACAACACTCGCTCATCTCACCACACCGGTGTGGGGGAAACACCAAACTCGCTGTCAAGACAAAGACGGCTGTATACAATGCCTGCGTCCTTAGCACACTGTTGGACGGGAGTGAGTCCTGGACGACCTATGCCAAGCAAGAGAAGAGACTGAATGCCTTCCACTTGAGATGTATCCACTGTATCCGCCGCATGCTCGGCATTTTAAGGAAGGACAAATTGCCGAACACCGAAGTCCGATCTCGTGCTGGCCTTCCTAGCATGTTCACCCTCCTCAGACAACGCAGACTCCGCTGGCTAGGCCATGTCCATCGTATTGAGGATGGCCGTATCCCTAAGGACATCCTCTATGGTCAAATGGCAACCGGCAAGAAAGACACTGGCCGCCCTCAGCTGCGCTTCAGAGATGTTATCAAGAGGGACTTGAAGGCTCTGAAGGTTAACACAGAGGGGAATACGCAGGGGAAGACCAACTGAAGAGTGCAACAGAAGAGAAGCAGACTCGCAGAAAAGAACGCTGTTAGTCATACGGTACAGAGACCATCCACAAGTGCAACTTGTGTGACAAAGACTGCCACTCACGCATTGGTCTGTTCAGCCACAGACAGTAGGGACTTTTAGATTTGCACGTCGACAGCTTTGACTGCAACGTGTGACGTCATTTTAAGGCACTGCGCATGCGTCACGTCGTCTCAGTCGGCGATCGAGAATGCGTCAACCTTGATTTTCCTAAATCTAGTACGGTAATAGTATATGCCGCGTGCGCATAAAATATACAGTTCCTCAGGAAGACAAAGGAACAAGAAATACTAGACTAAAATTGCTAAGCATACCACATTGGCTTTCGCATCCAACCGGGTACCCATTTAAGACCTGGGTGGACAGTGGCAAATGTAGATCAATGTCTCACCAAAGGACATTAGTGCCGCGGCGGGACTCGAACCGCGAGCGTGCCGGGAGATACGGCCGAGTGCACTCCCCGTCATTTTGCTTACCCCTCGATCTTTTCAGCTCACAAATTTCAAGAATTCCAGCTTGGCTTGTCGATAAGAATAAAGCGGCGAACGCTACAGAGGACTGACGTACGGTGGCGGATATCATGTTATCACTTACGAGCGCTGGCCACATTTTTCGAACCACTATGAGCCTTCTACGTATATTGACAGTTATGTGGTCACGGCTACTGGCTTTATCGGCCAGGTAGTTCCATTATGTGAATGAGTTAATTCCGACAATAATATACAATCAATCAAAGCAAGCTTAATACCAGAAGAAAGCTAACGATTAGATTATTCATTAGCCGCTCGCCCTAAAGCCGTCTGACCACAATGACATTAGAGGTTTCGAGAACGGCCGTAGTGTGATTTAAACTCGCTATTGTGTTCTTCTCCAATGCAAAAAGAGACGACATCTAGCTGGATTTGTATGTTTTATCAGACAAAAGTACAGAGAAATTGCATATTATTTGATTATTTTATGCTTTTTGAAAAAACCCAAGTGCCTCCCGCTCATCCCAATGCTGAAAAGAAACGCACTTTTTTTTTTTAGAAAACTTCACTTTTTCAAGCACAATTGCTTATTTGTTATTTGCACGCAGGTAAGATTGAGCGGATGATACAACATTTCCATATGAACAAACTTTGCTCTAACATCTATCTTCACAAATGACAAAAGTGGGAATCAAGCTAAAGTGTGTCTAAAAGATTTGTCGTCGTTATCAATACGGTTATCTATATAATTACCATCATCATCGTGTTCAGGTACTTTATCGTCGTTCTTATTGTCATTTAAAGATTCTATCTGTGCCACGGACCCGGAGTGCCAGAACGGAGGAACTTGTGATTCGAATACGTGCAACTGTGCACCTGGGTACACTGGTTCAAACTGTGAACAAGGTAAGATTTGTTCATACCTTCTATCTTTCAACTCAGGCATCGCGTCTCCATTCGATCCCCAATGAGCAGTCATAATGTTTGTTTAGTTCAATGGCCTTTATTAGTTGATTCCCAGCGACAAACTGACGAAAAAAGTTTGCTCTAATAATCATCCTACCTTCCAACATGACAAATGTGTAAATCAAGCTACAGTATCGGAAAATTCGTCGTCGTTATCAATACAGTTATCTATATAATTACCATCATCATCGTGTTCAGGTTCTTTATCGTCGTTCTTATTGTCATTTAAAGGTCCTATCTGTGCTACGGACCCGGAGTGCCAGAACGGAGGAACTTGTTTTTCGAATACGTGCAACTGTGCACCTGGGTACACTGGTTTAAACTGTGAACAAGGTAAGATAACTTCACACCTCCTATCTTTCAACTCAGGCCTCGCGTCTCAGTTCGATTACCAATGAACAGTCACAACGTTAGTTGATTCTCAGCGACCAACTGACGCATATTGTAAATTTTGCTTGGATTTGTCTCATAAAAGAAGTTGAACGCAATAAACAGCGTTGAGTGTAGGGGTCATGGGCACAGAACTGTAAAATATGTAGAACGCTCGTCCCAATTTACAATGCACAGATCGACGTGTGGCCGTTGAACGTGCCGGCCGGGAGATACGCCGGAGTGCACTCCCCGTCATTTTGCATACCCCTCGATCTTTTCAGCTCACAAATTTCAAGAATTCCAGCCTGGCTTGTCGTTGAGAATAAAGCGACGAACGCTACAGAGGACTGACGTTAGGTGGCGGATATCATGTTATCACGTACGAGCGCTGGCCACATTTTTCGAACCACTATGAGCCTTCTACGTATATTGACAGTTCTGTGGTCACGGCTACTGGCTTTATCGGCCAGGTAGTTCCATTATGTGAATGAGTTAATTCCGACAATAATATACAATCAATCAAAGCAAGCTTAATACCAGAAGAAAGCTAACGATTAGATTATTCATTAGCCGCTCACCCTAAAGCCGTCTGACCACAATGGCATTAGAGGTTTCGAGAACGGCCGTAGTGTGATTTAAACCCGCTATTGTGTTCTTCTCCAATGCAAAAAGAGACGACATCTAGCTCGATTTGTATGTTTTATCAGACAAAAGTACAGAGAAATTGCATATTATTTGATTATTTTATGCTTTTTGAAAAAACCCAAGTGCCTCCCGCTCATCCCAATGCTGAAAAGAAACGCACTTTTTTTTTTAGAAAACTTCACTTTTTCAAGCACAATTGCTTATTTGTTATTTGCACGCAGGTAAGATTGAGCGGATGATACAACATTTCCATATGAACAAACTTTGCTCTAACATCTATCTTCACAAATGACAAAAGTGGGAATCAAGCTAAAGTGTGTCTAAAAGATTTGTCGTCGTTATCAATACGGTTATCTATATAATTACCATCATCATCGTGTTCAGGTGCTTTATCGTCGTTCTTATTGTCATTTAAAGATTCTATCTGTGCCACGGACCCGGAGTGCCAGAACGGAGGAACTTGTGATTCGAATACGTGCAACTGTGCACCTGGGTACACTGGTTCAAACTGTGAACAAGGTAAGATTTGTTCATACCTTCTATCTTTCAACTCAGGCCTCGCGTCTCAATTCGATCCCCAATGAGCAGTCATAATGTTTGTTTAGTTCAATGGCCTTTATTAGTTGATTCCCAGCGACAAACTGACGAAAAAAGTTTGCTCTAATAATCATCCTACCTTCCAAAATGACAAATGTGTAAATCAAGCTACAGTATCGGAAAATTCGTCGTCGTTATCAATACAGTTATCTATATAATTACCATCATCATCGTGTTCAGGTTCTTTATCGTCGTTCTTATTGTCATTTAAAGGTCCTATCTGTGCTACGGACCCGGAGTGCCAGAACGGAGGAACTTGTTTTTCGAATACGTGCAACTGTGCACCTGGGTACACTGGTTCAAACTGTGAACAAGGTAAGATTTGTTCATACCTTCTATCTTTCAACTCAGGCCTCGCGTCTCCATTCGATCCCCAATGAGCAGTCATAATGTTTGTTTAGTTCAATGGCCTTTATTAGTTGATTCCCAGCGACAAACTGACGAAAAAAGTTTGCTCTAATAATCATCCTACCTTCCAAAATGACAAATGTGTAAATCAAGCTACAGTATCGGAAAATTCGTCGTCGTTATCAATACAGTTATCTATATAATTACCATCATCATCGTGTTCAGGTTCTTTATCGTCGTTCTTATTGTCATTTAAAGGTCCTATCTGTGCTACGGACCCGGAGTGCCAGAACGGAGGAACTTGTTTTTCGAATACGTGCAACTGTGCACCTGGGTACACTGGTTTAAACTGTGAACAAGGTAAGATAACTTCACACCTCCTATCTTTCAACTCAGGCCTCGCGTCTCAGTTCGATTACCAATGAACAGTCACAACGTTAGTTGATTCTCAGCGACCAACTGACGCATATTGTAAATTTTGCTTGGATTTGTCTCATAAAAGAAGTTGAACGCAATAAACAGCGTTGAGTGTAGGGGTCATGGGCACAGAACTGTAAAATATGTAGAACGCTCGTCCCAATTTACAATGCACAGATCGACGTGTGGCCGTTGAACGTGCCGGCCGGGAGATACGCCGGAGTGCACTCCCCGTCATTTTGCATACCCCTCGATCTTTTCAGCTCACAAATTTCAAGAATTCCAGCCTGGCTTGTCGTTGAGAATAAAGCGACGAACGCTACAGAGGACTGACGTTAGGTGGCGGATATCATGTTATCACGTACGAGCGCTGGCCACATTTTTCGAACCACTATGAGCCTTCTACGTATATTGACAGTTCTGTGGTCACGGCTACTGGCTTTATCGGCCAGGTAGTTCCATTATGTGAATGAGTTAATTCCGACAATAATATACAATCAGTCAAAGCAAGCTTAATACCAGAAGAAAGCTAACGATTAGATTATTCATTAGCCGCTCACCCTAAAGCCGTCTGACCACAATGGCATTAGAGGTTTCGAGAACGGCCGTAGTGTGATTTAAACCCGCTATTGTGTTCTTCTCCAATGCAAAAAGAGACGACATCTAGCTCGATTTGTATGTTTTATCAGACAAAAGTACAGAGAAATTGCATATTATTTGATTATTTTATGCTTTTTGAAAAAACCCAAGTGCCTCCCGCTCATCCCAATGCTGAAAAGAAACGCACTTTTTTTTTAGAAAACTTCACTTTTTCAAGCACAATTGCTTATTTGTTATTTGCACGCAGGTAAGATTGAGCGGATGATACAACATTTCCATATGAACAAACTTTGCTCTAACATCTATCTTCACAAATGACAAAAGTGGGAATCAAGCTAAAGTGTGTCTAAAAGATTTGTCGTCGTTATCAATACGGTTATCTATATAATTACCATCATCATCGTGTTCAGGTGCTTTATCGTCGTTCTTATTGTCATTTAAAGATTCTATCTGTGCCACGGACCCGGAGTGCCAGAACGGAGGAACTTGTGATTCGAATACGTGCAACTGTGCACCTGGGTACACTGGTTCAAACTGTGAACAAGGTAAGATTTGTTCATACCTTCTATCTTTCAACTCAGGCCTCGCGTCTCCATTCGATCCCCAATGAGCAGTCATAATGTTTGTTTAGTTCAATGGCCTTTATTAGTTGATTCCCAGCGACAAACTGACGAAAAAAGTTTGCTCTAATAATCATCCTACCTTCCAAAATGACAAATGTGTAAATCAAGCTACAGTATCGGAAAATTCGTCGTCGTTATCAATACAGTTATCTATATAATTACCATCATCATCGTGTTCAGGTTCTTTATCGTCGTTCTTATTGTCATTTAAAGGTCCTATCTGTGCTACGGACCCGGAGTGCCAGAACGGAGGAACTTGTTTTTCGAATACGTGCAACTGTGCACCTGGGTACACTGGTTCAAACTGTGAACAAGGTAAGATTTGTTCATACCTTCTATCTTTCAACTCAGGCATCGCGTCTCCATTCGATCCCCAATGAGCAGTCATAATGTTTGTTTAGTTCAATGGCCTTTATTAGTTGATTCCCAGCGACAAACTGACGAAAAAAGTTTGCTCTAATAATCATCCTACCTTCCAACATGACAAATGTGTAAATCAAGCTACAGTATCGGAAAATTCGTCGTCGTTATCAATACAGTTATCTATATAATTACCATCATCATCGTGTTCAGGTTCTTTATCGTCGTTCTTATTGTCATTTAAAGGTCCTATCTGTGCTACGGACCCGGAGTGCCAGAACGGAGGAACTTGTTTTTCGAATACGTGCAACTGTGCACCTGGGTACACTGGTTTAAACTGTGAACAAGGTAAGATAACTTCACACCTCCTATCTTTCAACTCAGGCCTCGCGTCTCAGTTCGATTACCAATGAACAGTCACAACGTTAGTTGATTCTCAGCGACCAACTGACGCATATTGTAAATTTTGCTTGGATTTGTCTCATAAAAGAAGTTGAACGCAATAAACAGCGTTGAGTGTAGGGGTCATGGGCACAGAACTGTAAAATATGTAGAACGCTCGTCCCAATTTACAATGCACAGATCGACGTGTGGCCGTTGAACGTGCCGGCCGGGAGATACGCCGGAGTGCACTCCCTGTCATTTTGCATACCCCTCGATCTTTTCAGCTCACAAATTTCAAGAATTCCAGCCTGGCTTGTCGTTGAGAATAAAGCGACGAACGCTACAGAGGACTGACGTTAGGTGGCGGATATCATGTTATCACGTACGAGCGCTGGCCACATTTTTCGAACCACTAAGAGCCTTCTACGTATATTGACAGTTCTGTGGTCACGGCTACTGGCTTTATCGGCCAGGTAGTTCCATTATGTGAATGAGTTAATTCCGACAATAATATACAATCAATCAAAGCAAGCTTAATACCAGAAGAAAGCTAACGATTAGATTATTCATTAGCCGCTCACCCTAAAGCCGTCTGACCACAATGGCATTAGAGGTTTCGAGAACGGCCGTAGTGTGATTTAAACCCGCTATTGTGTTCTTCTCCAATGCAAAAAGAGACGACATCTAGCTCGATTTGTATGTTTTATCAGACAAAAGTACAGAGAAATTGCATATTATTTGATTATTTTATGCTTTTTGAAAAAACCCAAGTGCCTCCCGCTCATCCCAATGCTGAAAAGAAACGCACTTTTTTTTTAGAAAACTTCACTTTTTCAAGCACAATTGCTTATTTGTTATTTGCACGCAGGTAAGATTGAGCGGATGATACAACATTTCCATATGAACAAACTTTGCTCTAACATCTATCTTCACAAATGACAAAAGTGGGAATCAAGCTAAAGTGTGTCTAAAAGATTTGTCGTCGTTATCAATACGGTTATCTATATAATTACCATCATCATCGTGTTCAGGTGCTTTATCGTCGTTCTTATTGTCATTTAAAGATTCTATCTGTGCCACGGACCCGGAGTGCCAGAACGGAGGAACTTGTGATTCGAATACGTGCAACTGTGCACCTGGGTACACTGGTTCAAACTGTGAACAAGGTAAGATTTGTTCATACCTTCTATCTTTCAACTCAGGCATCGCGTCTCCATTCGATCCCCAATGAGCAGTCATAATGTTTGTTTAGTTCAATGGCCTTTATTAGTTGATTCCCAGCGACAAACTGACGAAAAAAGTTTGCTCTAATAATCATCCTACCTTCCAAAATGACAAATGTGTAAATCAAGCTACAGTATCGGAAAATTCGTCGTCGTTATCAATACAGTTATCTATATAATTACCATCATCATCGTGTTCAGGTTCTTTATCATCGTTCTTATTGTCATTTAAAGGTCCTATCTGTGCTACGGACCCGGAGTGCCAGAACGGAGGAACTTGTTTTTCGAATACGTGCAACTGTGCACCTGGGTACACTGGTTTAAACTGTGAACAAGGTAAGATAACTTCACACCTCCTATCTTTCAACTCAGGCCTCGCGTCTCAGTTCGATTACCAATGAACAGTCACAACGTTAGTTGATTCTCAGCGACCAACTGACGCATATTGGATTTGTCTCATCAAAGAAGTTGAACGCAATAAACAGCGTTGAGTGTAGGGGTCATGGGCACAGAACTGTAAAATATGTAGAACGCTCGTCCCAATTTACAATGCACAGATCGACGTGTGGCCGTTGAACGTGCCGGCCGGGAGATACGCCGGAGTGCACTCCCCGTCATTTTGCATACCCCTCGATCTTTTCAGCTCACAAATTTCAAGAATTCCAGCCTGGCTTGTCGTTGAGAATAAAGCGACGAACGCTACAGAGGACTGACGTTAGGTGGCGGATATCATGTTATCACGTACGAGCGCTGGCCACATTTTTCGAACCACTATGAGCCTTCTACGTATATTGACAGTTCTGTGGTCACGGCTACTGGCTTTATCGGCCAGGTAGTTCCATTATGTGAATGAGTTAATTCCGACAATAATATACAATCAATCAAAGCAAGCTTAATACCAGAAGAAAGCTAACGATTAGATTATTCATTAGCCGCTCACCCTAAAGCCGTCTGACCACAATGGCATTAGAGGTTTCGAGAACGGCCGTAGTGTGATTTAAACTCGCTATTGTGTTCTTCTCCAATGCAAAAAGAGACGACATCTAGCTCGATTTGTATGTTTTATCAGACAAAAGTAAAGAGAAATTGCATATTATTTGATTATTTTATGCTTTTTGAAAAAACCCAAGTGCCTCCCGCTCATCCAAATGCTGAAAAGAAATGTACTTTTTTTTTTTTTAGAAAACTTCACTTTTTCAAGCAAAATTGCTTATTTGTTATATGCACGCAGGTAAGATTGAGCGGACGATACAACATTTCCATATGAACAAAATTTGCTCTAACATCTATCTTCACAAATGACAAAAGTGGGAATCAAGCTAAAGTGTGTCTAAAAGATTTGTCGTCGTTATCAATACGGTTATCTATATAATTACCATCATCATCGTGTTCAGGTGCTTTATCGTCGTTCTTATTGTCATTTAAAGATTCTATCTGTGCCACGGACCCGGAGTGCCAGAACGGAGGAACTTGTGATTCGAATACGTGCAACTGTGCACCTGGGTACACTGGTTCAAACTGTGAACAAGGTAAGATTTGTTCATACCTTCTATCTTTCAACTCAGGCATCGCGTCTCCATTCGATCCCCAATGAGCAGTCATAATGTTTGTTTAGTTCAATGGCCTTTATTAGTTGATTCCCAGCGACAAACTGACGAAAAAAGTTTGCTCTAATAATCATCCTACCTTCCAAAATGACAAATGTGTAAATCAAGCTACAGTATCGGAAAATTCGTCGTCGTTATCAATACAGTTATCTATATAATTACCATCATCATCGTGTTCAGGTTCTTTATCGTCGTTCTTATTGTCATTTAAAGGTCCTATCTGTGCTACGGACCCGGAGTGCCAGAACGGAGGAACTTGTTTTTCGAATACGTGCAACTGTGCACCTGGGTACACTGGTTTAAACTGTGAACAAGGTAAGATAACTTCACACCTCCTATCTTTCAACTCAGGCCTCGCGTCTCAGTTCGATTACCAATGAACAGTCACAACGTTAGTTGATTCTCAGCGACCAACTGACGCATATTGGATTTGTCTCATCAAAGAAGTTGAACGCAATAAACAGCGTTGAGTGTAGGGGTCATGGGCACAGAACTGTAAAATATGTAGAACGCTCGTCCCAATTTACAATGCACAGATCGACGTGTGGCCGTTGAACGTGCCGGCCGGGAGATACGCCGGAGTGCACTCCCCGTCATTTTGCATACCCCTCGATCTTTTCAGCTCACAAATTTCAAGAATTCCAGCCTGGCTTGTCGTTGAGAATAAAGCGACGAACGCTACAGAGGACTGACGTTAGGTGGCGGATATCATGTTATCACGTACGAGCGCTGGCCACATTTTTCGAACCACTATGAGCCTTCTACGTATATTGACAGTTCTGTGGTCACGGCTACTGGCTTTATCGGCCAGGTAGTTCCATTATGTGAATGAGTTAATTCCGACAATAATATACAATCAATCAAAGCAAGCTTAATACCAGAAGAAAGCTAACGATTAGATTATTCATTAGCCGCTCACCCTAAAGCCGTCTGACCACAATGGCATTAGAGGTTTCGAGAACGGCCGTAGTGTGATTTAAACTCGCTATTGTGTTCTTCTCCAATGCAAAAAGAGACGACATCTAGCTCGATTTGTATGTTTTATCAGACAAAAGTACAGAGAAATTGCATATTATTTGATTATTTTATGCTTTTTGAAAAAACCCAAGTGCCTCCCGCTCATCCAAATGCTGAAAAGAAATGTACTTTTTTTTTTTTTAGAAAACTTCACTTTTTCAAGCAAAATTGCTTATTTGTTATATGCACGCAGGTAAGATTGAGCGGACGATACAACATTTCCATATGAACAAAATTTGCTCTAACATCTATCTTCACAAATGACAAAAGTGGGAATCAAGCTAAAGTGTGTCTAAAAGATTTGTCGTCGTTATCAATACGGTTATCTATATAATTACCATCATCATCGTGTTCAGGTGCTTTATCGTCGTTCTTATTGTCATTTAAAGATTCTATCTGTGCCACGGACCCGGAGTGCCAGAACGGAGGAACTTGTGATTCGAATACGTGCAACTGTGCACCTGGGTACACTGGTTCAAACTGTGAACAAGGTAAGATTTGTTCATACCTTCTATCTTTCAACTCAGGCCTCGCGTCTCCATTCGATCCCCAATGAGCAGTCATAATGTTTGTTTAGTTCAATGGCCTTTATTAGTTGATTCCCAGCGACAAACTGACGAAAAAAGTTTGCTCTAATAATCATCCTACCTTCCAAAATGACAAATGTGTAAATCAAGCTACAGTATCGGAAAATTCGTCGTCGTTATCAATACAGTTATCTATATAATTACCATCATCATCGTGTTCAGGTTCTTTATCGTCGTTCTTATTGTCATTTAAAGGTCCTATCTGTGCTACGGACCCGGAGTGCCAGAACGGAGGAACTTGTTTTTCGAATACGTGCAACTGTGCACCTGGGTACACTGGTTTAAACTGTGAACAAGGTAAGATAACTTCACACCTCCTATCTTTCAACTCAGGCCTCGCGTCTCAGTTCGATTACCAATGAACAGTCACAACGTTAGTTGATTCTCAGCGACCAACTGACGCATATTGTAAATTTTGCTTGGATTTGTCTCATAAAAGAAGTTGAACGCAATAAACAGCGTTGAGTGTAGGGGTCATGGGCACAGAACTGTAAAATATGTAGAACGCTCGTCCCAATTTACAATGCACAGATCGACGTGTGGCCGTTGAACGTGCCGGCCGGGAGATACGCCGGAGTGCACTCCCCGTCATTTTGCATACCCCTCGATCTTTTCAGCTCACAAATTTCAAGAATTCCAGCCTGGCTTGTCGTTGAGAATAAAGCGACGAACGCTACAGAGGACTGACGTTAGGTGGCGGATATCATGTTATCACGTACGAGCGCTGGCCACATTTTTCGAACCACTATGAGCCTTCTACGTATATTGACAGTTCTGTGGTCACGGCTACTGGCTTTATCGGCCAGGTAGTTCCATTATGTGAATGAGTTAATTCCGACAATAATATACAATCAATCAAAGCAAGCTTAATACCAGAAGAAAGCTAACGATTAGATTATTCATTAGCCGCTCACCCTAAAGCCGTCTGACCACAATGGCATTAGAGGTTTCGAGAACGGCCGTAGTGTGATTTAAACCCGCTATTGTGTTCTTCTCCAATGCAAAAAGAGACGACATCTAGCTCGATTTGTATGTTTTATCAGACAAAAGTACAGAGAAATTGCATATTATTTGATTATTTTATGCTTTTTGAAAAAACCCAAGTGCCTCCCGCTCATCCCAATGCTGAAAAGAAACGCACTTTTTTTTTAGAAAACTTCACTTTTTCAAGCACAATTGCTTATTTGTTATTTGCACGCAGGTAAGATTGAGCGGATGATACAACATTTCCATATGAACAAACTTTGCTCTAACATCTATCTTCACAAATGACAAAAGTGGGAATCAAGCTAAAGTGTGTCTAAAAGATTTGTCGTCGTTATCAATACGGTTATCTATATAATTACCATCATCATCGTGTTCAGGTGCTTTATCGTCGTTCTTATTGTCATTTAAAGATTCTATCTGTGCCACGGACCCGGAGTGCCAGAACGGAGGAACTTGTGATTCGAATACGTGCAACTGTGCACCTGGGTACACTGGTTCAAACTGTGAACAAGGTAAGATTTGTTCATACCTTCTATCTTTCAACTCAGGCCTCGCGTCTCCATTCGATCCCCAATGAGCAGTCATAATGTTTGTTTAGTTCAATGGCCTTTATTAGTTGATTCCCAGCGACAAACTGACGAAAAAAGTTTGCTCTAATAATCATCCTACCTTCCAAAATGACAAATGTGTAAATCAAGCTACAGTATCGGAAAATTCGTCGTCGTTATCAATACAGTTATCTATATAATTACCATCATCATCGTGTTCAGGTTCTTTATCGTCGTTCTTATTGTCATTTAAAGGTCCTATCTGTGCTACGGACCCGGAGTGCCAGAACGGAGGAACTTGTTTTTCGAATACGTGCAACTGTGCACCTGGGTACACTGGTTTAAACTGTGAACAAGGTAAGATAACTTCACACCTCCTATCTTTCAACTCAGGCCTCGCGTCTCAGTTCGATTACCAATGAACAGTCACAACGTTAGTTGATTCTCAGCGACCAACTGACGCATATTGGATTTGTCTCATAAAAGAAGTTGAACGCAATAAACAGCGTTGAGTGTAGGGGTCATGGGCACAGAACTGTAAAATATGTAGAACGCTCGTCCCAATTTACAATGCACAGATCGACGTGTGGCCGTTGAACGTGCCGGCCGGGAGATACGCCGGAGTGCACTCCCCGTCATTTTGCATACCCCTCGATCTTTTCAGCTCACAAATTTCAAGAATTCCAGCCTGGCTTGTCGTTGAGAATAAAGCGACGAACGCTACAGAGGACTGACGTTAGGTGGCGGATATCATGTTATCACGTACGAGCGCTGGCCACATTTTTCGAACCACTATGAGCCTTCTACGTATATTGACAGTTCTGTGGTCACGGCTACTGGCTTTATCGGCCAGGTAGTTCCATTATGTGAATGAGTTAATTCCGACAATAATATACAATCAATCAAAGCAAGCTTAATACCAGAAGAAAGCTAACGATTAGATTATTCATTAGCCGCTCACCCTAAAGCCGTCTGACCACAATGGCATTAGAGGTTTCGAGAACGGCCGTAGTGTGATTTAAACTCGCTATTGTGTTCTTCTCCAATGCAAAAAGAGACGACATCTAGCTCGATTTGTATGTTTTATCAGACAAAAGTACAGAGAAATTGCATATTATTTGATTATTTTATGCTTTTTGAAAAAACCCAAGTGCCTCCCGCTCATCCAAATGCTGAAAAGAAATGTACTTTTTTTTTTTTTAGAAAACTTCACTTTTTCAAGCAAAATTGCTTATTTGTTATATGCACGCAGGTAAGATTGAGCGGACGATACAACATTTCCATATGAACAAAATTTGCTCTAACATCTATCTTCACAAATGACAAAAGTGGGAATCAAGCTAAAGTGTGTCTAAAAGATTTGTCGTCGTTATCAATACGGTTATCTATATAATTACCATCATCATCGTGTTCAGGTGCTTTATCGTCGTTCTTATTGTCATTTAAAGATTCTATCTGTGCCACGGACCCGGAGTGCCAGAACGGAGGAACTTGTGATTCGAATACGTGCAACTGTGCACCTGGGTACACTGGTTCAAACTGTGAACAAGGTAAGATTTGTTCATACCTTCTATCTTTCAACTCAGGCCTCGCGTCTCCATTCGATCCCCAATGAGCAGTCATAATGTTTGTTTAGTTCAATGGCCTTTATTAGTTGATTCCCAGCGACAAACTGACGAAAAAAGTTTGCTCTAATAATCATCCTACCTTCCAAAATGACAAATGTGTAAATCAAGCTACAGTATCGGAAAATTCGTCGTCGTTATCAATACAGTTATCTATATAATTACCATCATCATCGTGTTCAGGTTCTTTATCGTCGTTCTTATTGTCATTTAAAGGTCCTATCTGTGCTACGGACCCGGAGTGCCAGAACGGAGGAACTTGTTTTTCGAATACGTGCAACTGTGCACCTGGGTACACTGGTTTAAACTGTGAACAAGGTAAGATAACTTCACACCTCCTATCTTTCAACTCAGGCCTCGCGTCTCAGTTCGATTACCAATGAACAGTCACAACGTTAGTTGATTCTCAGCGACCAACTGACGCATATTGTAAATTTTGCTTGGATTTGTCTCATAAAAGAAGTTGAACGCAATAAACAGCGTTGAGTGTAGGGGTCATGGGCACAGAACTGTAAAATATGTAGAACGCTCGTCCCAATTTACAATGCACAGATCGACGTGTGGCCGTTGAACGTGCCGGCCGGGAGATACGCCGGAGTGCACTCCCCGTCATTTTGCATACCCCTCGATCTTTTCAGCTCACAAATTTCAAGAATTCCAGCCTGGCTTGTCGTTGAGAATAAAGCGACGAACGCTACAGAGGACTGACGTTAGGTGGCGGATATCATGTTATCACGTACGAGCGCTGGCCACATTTTTCGAACCACTATGAGCCTTCTACGTATATTGACAGTTCCGTGGTCACGGCTACTGGCTTTATCGGCCAGGTAGTTCCATTATGTGAATGAGTCAATTCCGACAATAATATACAATCAATCAAAGCAAGCTTAATACCAGAAGAAAGCTAACGATTAGATTATTCATTAGCCGCTCACCCTAAAGCCGTCTGACCACAATGGCATTAGAGGTTTCGAGAACGGCCGTAGTGTGATTTAAACTCGCTATTGTGTTCTTCTCCAATGCAAAAAGAGACGACATCTAGCTCGATTTGTATGTTTTATCAGACAAAAGTACAGAGAAATTGCATATTATTTGTTTATTTTATACTTTTTGAAAAAACCCAAGTGCCTCCCGCTCATCCCAATGCTGAAAAGAAACGCACTTTTTTTTAGAAAACTTCACTTTTTCAAGCAAAATTGCTTATTTGTTATATGCACGCAGGTAAGATTGAGCGGACGATACAACATTTCCATATGAACAAAATTTGCTCTAACATCTATCTTCACAAATGACAAAAGTGGGAATCAAGCTAAAGTGTGTCTAAAAGATTCGTCGTCGTTATCAATACGGTTATCTATATAATTACCATCATCATCGTGTTCAGGTGCTTTATCGTCGTTCTTATTGTCATTTAAAGATCCTATCTGTGCCACGGACCCGGAGTGCCAGAACGGAGGAACTTGTGATTCGAATACGTGCAACTGTGAACCTGGGTACACTGGTTCAAACTGTGAACAAGGTAAGATTTGTTCATACCTTCTATCTTTCAACTCAGGCCTCGCGTCTCCATTCGATCCCCAATGAGCAGTCATAATGTTTGTTTAGTTCAATGGCCTTTATTAGTTGATTCCCAGCGACAAACTGACGAAAAAAGTTTGCTCTAATAATCATCCTACCTTCCAAAATGACAAATGTGTAAATCAAGCTACAGTATCGGAAAATTCGTCGTCATTATCAATACAGTTATCTATATAATTACCATCATCATCGTGTTCAGGTTCTTTATCGTCGTTCTTATTGTCATTTAAAGGTCCTATCTGTGCTACGGACCCGGAGTGCCAGAACGGAGGAACTTGTGATTCGAATACGTGCAACTGTGCACCTGGGTACACTGGTTTAAACTGTGAACAAGGTAAGATAACTTCACACCTCCTATCTTTTAACTCAGGGCTCGCGTCTCCATTCGATTACCAATGAACAGTCACAACGTTAGTTAATTCCCAGCGACCAACTGACGCATATTGTAAATTTTGCTTGGATTTGTCTCATAAAAGAAGTTGAACACAACACACAGCGTTGAGTGTAGGGGTCACGGGCACAGAACTGTAAAATATGTAGAACGCTCATTCCAATTTACAATGCACAGATCGACGTGTGGCCGTTGAACGTGCCGGCCGGGAGATACGCCCGAGTGCACTCCCCGTCATTTTGCTTACCCCTCGATCTTTTCAGCTCACAAATTTCAAGAATTCCAGCCTGGCTTGTCGTTGAGAATAAAGTGACGAACGCTACAGAGGACTGACGTTATGTGGCGGATATCATGTTATCACGTACGAGCGCTGGCCACATTTTTCGAACCACTATGAGCCTTCTACGTATATTTACAGTTCTGTGGTCACGGCCACTGGTTTTATCGGCCAGGTAGTTCCATTATGTGAATGAGTTAATTCCGACAATAATATACAATCAATCAAAGAAAGCTTAATACCAGGAGAAAGCTAACGATTAGATTATTCATTAGCTGCTCACCCTAAAGCCGTCTGACCACAATGGCATTAGAGGTTGCGAGAACGGCCGTAGTGTGATTTAAACTCGCTATTGTGTTCTTCTCCAATGCAAAAAGAGACGACATCTAGCTGGATTTGTATGTTTTATCAGACAAAAGTACAGAGAAATTGCATATTATTTGTTTATTTTATACTTTTTGAAAAAACCCAAGTGCCTCCCGCTCATCCCAATGCTGAAAAGAAACGCACTTTTTTTTAGAAAACTTCACTTTTTCAAGCAAAATTGCTTATTTGTTATATGCACGCAGGTAAGATTGAGCGGATGATACAACATTTCCATATGAACAAACTTTGCTCTAACATCTATCTTCACAAATGACAAAAGTCGGAATCAAGCTAAAGTGTGTCTAAAAGATTCGTCGTCGTTATCAATACGGTTATCTATATAATTACCATCATCATCGTGTTCAGGTGCTTTATCGTCGTTCTTATTGTCATTTAAAGATTCTATCTGTGCCACGGACCCGGAGTGCCAGAACGGAGGAACTTGTGATTCGAATACGTGCAACTGTGCACCTGGGTACACTGGTTCAAACTGTGAACAAGGTAAGATTTGTTCATACCTTCTATCTTTCAACTCAGGCCTCGCGTCTCCATTCGATCCCCAATGAGCAGTCATAATGTTTGTTTAGTTCAATGGCCTTTATTAGTTGATTCCCAGCGACAAACTGACGAAAAAAGTTTGCTCTAATAATCATCCTACCTTCCAAAATGACAAATGTGTAAATCAAGCTACAGTATCGGAAAATTCGTCGTCGTTATCAATACAGTTATCTATATAATTACCATCATCATCGTGTTCAGGTTCTTTATCGTCGTTCTTATTGTCATTTAAAGGTCCTATCTGTGCTACGGACCCGGAGTGCCAGAACGGAGGAACTTGTTTTTCGAATACGTGCAACTGTGCACCTGGGTACACTGGTTTAAACTGTGAACAAGGTAAGATAACTTCACACCTCCTATCTTTCAACTCAGGCCTCGCGTCTCAGTTCGATTACCAATGAACAGTCACAACGTTAGTTGATTCTCAGCGACCAACTGACGCATATTGTAAATTTTGCTTGGATTTGTCTCATAAAAGAAGTTGAACGCAATAAACAGCGTTGAGTGTAGGGGTCATGGGCACAGAACTGTAAAATATGTAGAACGCTCGTCCCAATTTACAATGCACAGATCGACGTGTGGCCGTTGAACGTGCCGGCCGGGAGATACGCCGGAGTGCACTCCCCGTCATTTTGCATACCCCTCGATCTTTTCAGCTCACAAATTTCAAGAATTCCAGCCTGGCTTGTCGTTGAGAATAAAGCGACGAACGCTACAGAGGACTGACGTTAGGTGGCGGATATCATGTTATCACGTACGAGCGCTGGCCACATTTTTCGAACCACTATGAGCCTTCTACGTATATTGACAGTTCTGTGGTCACGGCTACTGGCTTTATCGGCCAGGTAGTTCCATTATGTGAATGAGTTAATTCCGACAATAATATACAATCAATCAAAGCAAGCTTAATACCAGAAGAAAGCTAACGATTAGATTATTCATTAGCCGCTCACCCTAAAGCCGTCTGACCACAATGGCATTAGAGGTTTCGAGAACGGCCGTAGTGTGATTTAAACCCGCTATTGTGTTCTTCTCCAATGCAAAAAGAGACGACATCTAGCTCGATTTGTATGTTTTATCAGACAAAAGTACAGAGAAATTGCATATTATTTGATTATTTTATGCTTTTTGAAAAAACCCAAGTGCCTCCCGCTCATCCCAATGCTGAAAAGAAACGCACTTTTTTTTTAGAAAACTTCACTTTTTCAAGCACAATTGCTTATTTGTTATTTGCACGCAGGTAAGATTGAGCGGATGATACAACATTTCCATATGAACAAACTTTGCTCTAACATCTATCTTCACAAATGACAAAAGTGGGAATCAAGCTAAAGTGTGTCTAAAAGATTTGTCGTCGTTATCAATACGGTTATCTATATAATTACCATCATCATCGTGTTCAGGTGCTTTATCGTCGTTCTTATTGTCATTTAAAGATTCTATCTGTGCCACGGACCCGGAGTGCCAGAACGGAGGAACTTGTGATTCGAATACGTGCAACTGTGCACCTGGGTACACTGGTTCAAACTGTGAACAAGGTAAGATTTGTTCATACCTTCTATCTTTCAACTCAGGCCTCGCGTCTCCATTCGATCCCCAATGAGCAGTCATAATGTTTGTTTAGTTCAATGGCCTTTATTAGTTGATTCCCAGCGACAAACTGACGAAAAAAGTTTGCTCTAATAATCATCCTACCTTCCAAAATGACAAATGTGTAAATCAAGCTACAGTATCGGAAAATTCGTCGTCGTTATCAATACAGTTATCTATATAATTACCATCATCATCGTGTTCAGGTTCTTTATCGTCGTTCTTATTGTCATTTAAAGGTCCTATCTGTGCTACGGACCCGGAGTGCCAGAACGGAGGAACTTGTTTTTCGAATACGTGCAACTGTGCACCTGGGTACACTGGTTTAAACTGTGAACAAGGTAAGATAACTTCACACCTCCTATCTTTCAACTCAGGCCTCGCGTCTCAGTTCGATTACCAATGAACAGTCACAACGTTAGTTGATTCTCAGCGACCAACTGACGCATATTGGATTTGTCTCATAAAAGAAGTTGAACGCAATAAACAGCGTTGAGTGTAGGGGTCATGGGCACAGAACTGTAAAATATGTAGAACGCTCGTCCCAATTTACAATGCACAGATCGACGTGTGGCCGTTGAACGTGCCGGCCGGGAGATACGCCGGAGTGCACTCCCCGTCATTTTGCATACCCCTCGATCTTTTCAGCTCACAAATTTCAAGAATTCCAGCCTGGCTTGTCGTTGAGAATAAAGCGACGAACGCTACAGAGGACTGACGTTAGGTGGCGGATATCATGTTATCACGTACGAGCGCTGGCCACATTTTTCGAACCACTATGAGCCTTCTACGTATATTGACAGTTCTGTGGTCACGGCTACTGGCTTTATCGGCCAGGTAGTTCCATTATGTGAATGAGTTAATTCCGACAATAATATACAATCAATCAAAGCAAGCTTAATACCAGAAGAAAGCTAACGATTAGATTATTCATTAGCCGCTCACCCTAAAGCCGTCTGACCACAATGGCATTAGAGGTTTCGAGAACGGCCGTAGTGTGATTTAAACTCGCTATTGTGTTCTTCTCCAATGCAAAAAGAGACGACATCTAGCTCGATTTGTATGTTTTATCAGACAAAAGTACAGAGAAATTGCATATTATTTGATTATTTTATGCTTTTTGAAAAAACCCAAGTGCCTCCCGCTCATCCAAATGCTGAAAAGAAATGTACTTTTTTTTTTTTTAGAAAACTTCACTTTTTCAAGCAAAATTGCTTATTTGTTATATGCACGCAGGTAAGATTGAGCGGACGATACAACATTTCCATATGAACAAAATTTGCTCTAACATCTATCTTCACAAATGACAAAAGTGGGAATCAAGCTAAAGTGTGTCTAAAAGATTTGTCGTCGTTATCAATACGGTTATCTATATAATTACCATCATCATCGTGTTCAGGTGCTTTATCGTCGTTCTTATTGTCATTTAAAGATTCTATCTGTGCCACGGACCCGGAGTGCCAGAACGGAGGAACTTGTGATTCGAATACGTGCAACTGTGCACCTGGGTACACTGGTTCAAACTGTGAACAAGGTAAGATTTGTTCATACCTTCTATCTTTCAACTCAGGCCTCGCGTCTCCATTCGATCCCCAATGAGCAGTCATAATGTTTGTTTAGTTCAATGGCCTTTATTAGTTGATTCCCAGCGACAAACTGACGAAAAAAGTTTGCTCTAATAATCATCCTACCTTCCAAAATGACAAATGTGTAAATCAAGCTACAGTATCGGAAAATTCGTCGTCGTTATCAATACAGTTATCTATATAATTACCATCATCATCGTGTTCAGGTTCTTTATCGTCGTTCTTATTGTCATTTAAAGGTCCTATCTGTGCTACGGACCCGGAGTGCCAGAACGGAGGAACTTGTTTTTCGAATACGTGCAACTGTGCACCTGGGTACACTGGTTTAAACTGTGAACAAGGTAAGATAACTTCACACCTCCTATCTTTCAACTCAGGCCTCGCGTCTCAGTTCGATTACCAATGAACAGTCACAACGTTAGTTGATTCTCAGCGACCAACTGACGCATATTGTAAATTTTGCTTGGATTTGTCTCATAAAAGAAGTTGAACGCAATAAACAGCGTTGAGTGTAGGGGTCATGGGCACAGAACTGTAAAATATGTAGAACGCTCGTCCCAATTTACAATGCACAGATCGACGTGTGGCCGTTGAACGTGCCGGCCGGGAGATACGCCGGAGTGCACTCCCCGTCATTTTGCATACCCCTCGATCTTTTCAGCTCACAAATTTCAAGAATTCCAGCCTGGCTTGTCGTTGAGAATAAAGCGACGAACGCTACAGAGGACTGACGTTAGGTGGCGGATATCATGTTATCACGTACGAGCGCTGGCCACATTTTTCGAACCACTATGAGCCTTCTACGTATATTGACAGTTCCGTGGTCACGGCTACTGGCTTTATCGGCCAGGTAGTTCCATTATGTGAATGAGTCAATTCCGACAATAATATACAATCAATCAAAGCAAGCTTAATACCAGAAGAAAGCTAACGATTAGATTATTCATTAGCCGCTCACCCTAAAGCCGTCTGACCACAATGGCATTAGAGGTTTCGAGAACGGCCGTAGTGTGATTTAAACTCGCTATTGTGTTCTTCTCCAATGCAAAAAGAGACGACATCTAGCTCGATTTGTATGTTTTATCAGACAAAAGTACAGAGAAATTGCATATTATTTGTTTATTTTATACTTTTTGAAAAAACCCAAGTGCCTCCCGCTCATCCCAATGCTGAAAAGAAACGCACTTTTTTTTAGAAAACTTCACTTTTTCAAGCAAAATTGCTTATTTGTTATATGCACGCAGGTAAGATTGAGCGGACGATACAACATTTCCATATGAACAAAATTTGCTCTAACATCTATCTTCACAAATGACAAAAGTGGGAATCAAGCTAAAGTGTGTCTAAAAGATTCGTCGTCGTTATCAATACGGTTATCTATATAATTACCATCATCATCGTGTTCAGGTGCTTTATCGTCGTTCTTATTGTCATTTAAAGATCCTATCTGTGCCACGGACCCGGAGTGCCAGAACGGAGGAACTTGTGATTCGAATACGTGCAACTGTGAACCTGGGTACACTGGTTCAAACTGTGAACAAGGTAAGATTTGTTCATACCTTCTATCTTTCAACTCAGGCCTCGCGTCTCCATTCGATCCCCAATGAGCAGTCATAATGTTTGTTTAGTTCAATGGCCTTTATTAGTTGATTCCCAGCGACAAACTGACGAAAAAAGTTTGCTCTAATAATCATCCTACCTTCCAAAATGACAAATGTGTAAATCAAGCTACAGTATCGGAAAATTCGTCGTCATTATCAATACAGTTATCTATATAATTACCATCATCATCGTGTTCAGGTTCTTTATCGTCGTTCTTATTGTCATTTAAAGGTCCTATCTGTGCTACGGACCCGGAGTGCCAGAACGGAGGAACTTGTGATTCGAATACGTGCAACTGTGCACCTGGGTACACTGGTTTAAACTGTGAACAAGGTAAGATAACTTCACACCTCCTATCTTTTAACTCAGGGCTCGCGTCTCCATTCGATTACCAATGAACAGTCACAACGTTAGTTAATTCCCAGCGACCAACTGACGCATATTGTAAATTTTGCTTGGATTTGTCTCATAAAAGAAGTTGAACACAACACACAGCGTTGAGTGTAGGGGTCACGGGCACAGAACTGTAAAATATGTAGAACGCTCATTCCAATTTACAATGCACAGATCGACGTGTGGCCGTTGAACGTGCCGGCCGGGAGATACGCCCGAGTGCACTCCCCGTCATTTTGCTTACCCCTCGATCTTTTCAGCTCACAAATTTCAAGAATTCCAGCCTGGCTTGTCGTTGAGAATAAAGTGACGAACGCTACAGAGGACTGACGTTATGTGGCGGATATCATGTTATCACGTACGAGCGCTGGCCACATTTTTCGAACCACTATGAGCCTTCTACGTATATTTACAGTTCTGTGGTCACGGCCACTGGTTTTATCGGCCAGGTAGTTCCATTATGTGAATGAGTTAATTCCGACAATAATATACAATCAATCAAAGAAAGCTTAATACCAGGAGAAAGCTAACGATTAGATTATTCATTAGCTGCTCACCCTAAAGCCGTCTGACCACAATGGCATTAGAGGTTGCGAGAACGGCCGTAGTGTGATTTAAACTCGCTATTGTGTTCTTCTCCAATGCAAAAAGAGACGACATCTAGCTGGATTTGTATGTTTTATCAGACAAAAGTACAGAGAAATTGCATATTATTTGTTTATTTTATACTTTTTGAAAAAACCCAAGTGCCTCCCGCTCATCCCAATGCTGAAAAGAAACGCACTTTTTTTTAGAAAACTTCACTTTTTCAAGCAAAATTGCTTATTTGTTATATGCACGCAGGTAAGATTGAGCGGATGATACAACATTTCCATATGAACAAACTTTGCTCTAACATCTATCTTCACAAATGACAAAAGTCGGAATCAAGCTAAAGTGTGTCTAAAAGATTCGTCGTCGTTATCAATACGGTTATCTATATAATTACCATCATCATCGTGTTCAGGTGCTTTATCGTCGTTCTTATTGTCATTTAAAGATCCTATCTGTGCCACGGACCTGGAGTGCCAGAACGGAGGAACTTGTGATTCGAATACATGCAACTGTGCACCTGGGTACACTGGTTCAAACTGTGAACAAGGTAAGATAACTTCACACCTTCTATCTTTCAACTCAGGCCTCGCGTCTCCAGTCGATCCCCAATGATCAGTCATAATGTTTGTTTAGTTCGATGGCCTTTATTAGTTGATTCCCAGCGACAAACTGACGAAAAAAGTTTGCTCTTATAATCATCCTACCTTCCAAAATGACAAATGTGTAAATCAAGCTACAGTATCGAAAAATTCGTCGTCATTATCAATACAGTTATCTATATAATTACCATCATCATCGTGTTTAGGTTCTTTATCGTCGTTCTTATTGTCATTTAAAGGTCCTATCTGTGCTACGGACCCGGAGTGCCAGAACGGAGGAACTTGTGATTCGAATACGTGCAACTGTGCACCTGGGTACACTGGTTTAAACTGTGAACAAGGTAAGATTTGTTCACACCTCCTATCTTTCCACTCAGGCCTCGCGTCTCAGTTCGATTACCAATGAACAGTCACAACGTTAGTTGATTCTCAGCGACCAACTGACGCATATTGTAAATTTTGCTTGGATTTGTCTCATAAAAGAAGTTGAACACAACAAACAGCGTTGAGTGTAGGGGTCACGGGCACAGAACTGTAACATATGTAGAACGCTCATCCCAATTTACAATGCACAGATCGACGCGTGGCCGTTGAACGTGCCGGCACGGGAGATACGCCCGAGTGCACTCCCCGTCATTTTGCTTACCCCTCGATCTTTTCAGCTCACAAATTTCAAGAATTCCAGCCTGGCTTGTCGTTGAGAATAAAGCGACGAACGCTACAGAGGACTGACGTAAGGTGGCGGATATCATGTAATCACGTACGAGTGCTGGCCACATTTTTCGAACCACTATGAGCCTTCTACGTGTATTTACAGTTCTGTGGTCACGACCACTGGCTTTATCGGGCAGGTAGTTCCATTATGTGAATGAGTTAATTCCGACAATAATATACAATCAATCAAAGCAAGCTTAATACCAGAAGAAAGCTAACGATTAGATTATTCATTAGCTGCTCACCCTAAAGCCATCTGACCACAATGGCATTAGAGGTTGCGAGAACGGCAGTAGTGTATTTAAACTCGCTATTGTGTTCTTCTCCAATGCAAAAAGAGACGACATCTAGCTGGATTTGTATGTCTGACCAAAGTACAGAGAAATTGCATATTATTTGTTTATTTTATACTTTTTGAAAAAACCCAATTGCCTCCCGCTCATCCAAATGCTGAAAAGAAACGCACTTTTTTTTAGAAAACTTCACTTTTTCAAGCAAAATTGCTTATTTGTTATATGCACGCAGGTAAGATTGAGCGGATGATACAACATTTCCATATGAACAAACTTTGCTCTAACATCTATCTTCACAAATGACAAAAGTGGGAATCAAGCTAAAGTGTGTCTAAAAGATTCGTCGTCGTTATCAATACGGTTATCTATATAATTACCATCATCATCGTGTTCAGGTGCTTTATCGTCGTTCTTATTGTCATTTAAAGATCCAATCTGTGCCACGGACCCGGAGTGCCAGAACGGAGGAACTTGTGATTCGAATACATGCAACTGTGCACCTGGTTACACTGGTTCAAACTGTGAACAAGGTAAGATTTGTTCATACCTTCTATCTTTCAGCTCAAGCCTCGCGTCTCCATTCGATCCCCAATGAGCAGTCATAATGTTTGTTTAGTTCAATGGCCTTTATTAGTTGATTCCCAGCGACAAACCGACGAAAAAAGTTTGCTCTAATAATCATCCTACCTTCCAAAATGACAAATGTGTAAATCAAGCTACAGTATCGGAAAATTCGTCGTCGTTATCAATACAGTTATCTATATAATTACCATCATCATCGTGTTCAGGTTCTTTATCGTCGTTCTTATTGTCATTTAAAGGTCCTATCTGTGCTACGGACCCGGAGTGCCAGAACGGAGGAACTTGTGATTCGAATACGTGCAACTGTGCACCTGGGTACACTGGTTTAAACTGTGAACAAGGTAAGATAACTTCACACCTCCTATCTTTCAACTCAGGCCTCGCGTCTCCATTCGATTACCAATGAACAGTCACAACGTTAGTTGATTCCCAGCGACCAACTGACGCATATTGTAAATTTTGCTTGGATTTGTCTCATGAAAGAAGTTGAACACAACAAACAGCGTTGAGTGTAGGGGTCACGGGCACAGAACTGTAAAATATGTAGAACGCTCATCCCAATTTACAATGCACAGATCGACGAGTGGCCGTTGAACGTGCCAGCCGGGAGATACGCCCGAGTGCCCTCCCCGTCATTTTGCTTACCCCTCGATCTTTTCAGCTCACAAATTTCAAGAATTCCAGCCTGGCTTGTCGTTGAGAATAAAGCGACGAACGCTACAGAGGACTGACGTTAGGTGGCGGATATCATGTAATCACGTACGAGCGCTGGCCACATTTTTCGAACCACTATGAGCCTTCTACGTGTATTTACAGTTCTGTGGTCACGACCACTGGCTTTATCGGGCAGGTAGTTCCATTATGTGAATGAGTTAATTCCGACAATAATATACAATCAATCAAAGCAAGCTTAATACCAGAAGAAAGCTAACGATTAGATTATTCATTAGCTGCTCACCCTAAAGCCGTCTGACCACAATGGCATTAGAGGTTGCGAGAACGGCCGTAGTGTATTTAAACTCGCTATTGTGTTCTTCTCCAATGCAAAAAGAGACGACATCTAGCTGGATTTGTATGTTTTATCAGACAAAAGTACAGAGAAATTGCATATTATTTGTTTATTTTATACTTTTTGAAAAAACCCAAGTGCCTCCCGCTCATCCCAATGCTGAAAAGAAACGCACTTTTTTTTAGAAAACTTCACTTTTTCAAGCAAAATTGCTTATTTGTTATATGCACGCAGGTAAGATTGAGCGGATGATACAACATTTCCATATGAACAAACTTTGCTCTAACATCTATCTTCACAAATAACAAAAGTGGGAATCAAGCTAAAGTGTGTCTAAAAGATTCGTCGTCGTTATCAATACGGTTATCTATATAATTACCATCATCATCGTGTTCAGGTGCTTTATCGTCGTTCTTATTGTCATTTAAAGATCCTATCTGTGCCACGGACCCGGAGTGCCAGAACGGAGGAACTTGTGATTCGACTACATGCAACTGTGCACCTGGTTACACTGGTTCAAACTGTGAACAAGGTAAGATTTGTTCACACCTTCTATCTTTCAACTCATGCCTCGCGTCTCTATTCGATCCCCAATGAGCAGTCATAATGTTTGTTTAGTTCAATGGCCTTTATTAGTTGATTCCCAGCGACAAACCGACGAAAAAAGTTTGCTCTAATAATCATCCTACCTTCCAAAATGACAAATGTGTAAATCAAGCTACAGTATCGGAAAATTCGTCGTCGTTATCAATACAGTTATCTATATAATTACCATCATCATCGTGTTCAGGTTCTTTATCGTCGTTCTTATTGTCATTTAAAGGTCCTATCTGTGCTACGGACCCGGAGTGCCAGAACGGAGGAACTTGTGATTCGAATACGTGCAACTGTGCACCTGGGTACACTGGTTTAAACTGTGAACAAGGTAAGATAACTTCACACCTCCTATCTTTCAACTCAGGCCTCGCGTCTCCATTCGATTACCAATGAACAGGCACAACGTTAGTTGATTCCCAGCGACCAACTGACGCATATTGTAAATTTTGCTTGGATTTGTCTCATAAAAGAAGTTGAACACAACAAACAGCGTTGAGTGTAGGGGTCAAGGGCACAGAACTGTAAAATATGTAGAACGCTCATCCCAATTTACAATGCACAGATCGACGCGTGGCCGTTGAACGTGCAGGCCGGGAGATACGCCCGAGTGCCCTCCCCGTCATTTTGCTTACCCCTCGATCTTTTCAGCTCACAAATTTCAAGAATTCCAGCCTGGCTTGTCGTTGAGAATAAAGCGACGAACGCTACAGAGGACTGACGTTAGGTGGCGGATATCATGTAATCACGTACGAGCGCTGGCCACATTTTTCGAACCACTATGAGCCTTCTACGTGTATTTACAGTTCTGTGGTCACGACCACTGGCTTTATCGGGCATGTATTTCCATTATGTGAATGAGTTAATTCCGACAATAATATACAATCAATCAAAGCAAGCTTAATACCAGAAGAAAGCTAACGATGAGATTATTCATTAGCTGCTCACCCTAAAGCAGTCTGACCACAATGGCATTAGAGGTTGCGAGAACGGCCGTAGTGTATTTAAACTCGCTATTGTGTTCTTCTCCAATGCAAAAAGAGACGACATCTAGCTGGATTTGTATGTTTTATCAGACAAAAGTACAGAGAAATTGCATATTATTTGTTTATTTTATACTTTTTGAAAAAACCCAATTGCCTCCCGCTCATCCAAATGCTGAAAAGAAACGCACTTTTTTTTAGAAAACTTCACTTTTTCAAGCAAAATTGCTTATTTGTTATATGCACGCAGGTAAGATTGAGCGGATGATACAACATTTCCATATGAACAAACTTTGCTCTAACATCTATCTTCACAAATGACAAAAGTCGGAATCAAGCTAAAGTGTGTCTAAAAGATTCGTCGTCGTTATCAATACGGTTATCTATATAATTACCATCATCATCGTGTTCAGGTGCTTTATCGTCGTTCTTATTGTCATTTAAAGATCCAATCTGTGCCACGGACCCGGAGTGCCAGAACGGAGGAACTTGTGATTCGAATACATGCAACTGTGCACCTGGTTACACTGGTTCAAACTGTGAACAAGGTAAGATTTGTTCATACCTTCTATCTTTCAACTCAAGCCTCGCGTCTCCATTCGATCCCCAATGAGCAGTCATAATGTTTGTTTAGTTCAATGGCCTTTATTAGTTGATTCCCAGCGACAAACCGACGAAAAAAGTTTGCTCTAATAATCATCCTACCTTCCAAAATGACAAATGTGTAAATCAAGCTACAGTATCGGAAAATTCGTCGTCGTTATCAATACAGTTATCTATATAATTACCATCATCATCGTGTTCAGGTTGTTTATCGTCGTTCTTATTGTCATTTAAAGGTCCTATCTGTGCTACGGACCCGGAGTGCCAGAACGGAGGAACTTGTGATTCGAATACGTGCAACTGTGCACCTGGGTACACTGGTTTAAACTGTGAACAAGGTAAGATAACTTCACACCTCCTATCTTTCAACTCAGGCCTCGCGTCTCCATTCGATTACCAATGAACAGTCACAACGTTAGTTGATTCCCAGCGACCAACTGACGCATATTGTAAATTTTGCTTGGATTTGTCTCATAAAAGAAGTTGAACACAACAAACAGCGTTGAGTGTAGGGGTCACGGGCACAGAACTGTAAAATATGTAGAACGCTCATCCCAATTTACAATGCACAGATCGACGAGTGGCCGTTGAACGTGCCAGCCGGGAGATACGCCCGAGTGCCCTCCCCGTCATTTTGCTTACCCCTCGATCTTTTCAGCTCACAAATTTCAAGAATTCCAGCCTGGCTTGTCGTTGAGAATAAAGCGACGAACGCTACAGAGGACTGACGTTAGGTGGCGGATATCATGTAATCACGTACGAGCGCTGGCCACATTTTTCGAACCACTATGAGCCTTCTACGTGTATTTACAGTTCTGTGGTCACGACCACTGGCTTTATCGGGCAGGTAGTTCCATTATGTGAATGAGTTAATTCCGACAATAATATACAATCAATCAAAGCAAGCTTAATACCAGAAGAAAGCTAACGATTAGATTATTCATTAGCTGCTCACCCTAAAGCCGTCTGACCACAATGGCATTAGAGGTTGCGAGAACGGCCGTAGTGTATTTAAACTCGCTATTGTGTTCTTCTCCAATGCAAAAAGAGACGACATCTAGCTGGATTTGTATGTTTTATCAGACAAAAGTACAGAGAAATTGCATATTATTTGTTTATTTTATACTTTTTGAAAAAACCCAAGTGCCTCCCGCTCATCCCAATGCTGAAAAGAAACGCACTTTTTTTTAGAAAACTTCACATTTTCAAGCAAAATTGCTTATTTGTTATATGCACGCAGGTAAGATTGAGCGGATGATACAACATTTCCATATGAACAAACTTTGCTCTAACATCTATCTTCACAAATAACAAAAGTGGGAATCAAGCTAAAGTGTGTCTAAAAGATTCGTCGTCGTTATCAATACGGTTATCTATATAATTACCATCATCATCGTGTTCAGGTGCTTTATCGTCGTTCTTATTGTCATTTAAAGATCCTATCTGTGCCACGGACCCGGAGTGCCAGAACGGAGGAACTTGTGATTCGACTACATGCAACTGTGCACCTGGTTACACTGGTTCAAACTGTGAACAAGGTAAGATTTGTTCACACCTTCTATCTTTCAACTCAAGCCTCGCGTCTCTATTCGATCCCCAATGAGCAGTCATAATGTTTGTTTAGTTCAATGGCCTTTATTAGTTGATTCCCAGCGACAAACCGACGAAAAAAGTTTGCTCTAATAATCATCCTACCTTCCAAAATGACAAATGTGTAAATCAAGCTACAGTATCGGAAAATTCGTCGTCGTTATCAATACAGTTATCTATATAATTACCATCATCATCGTGTTCAGGTTCTTTATCGTCGTTCTTATTGTCATTTAAAGGTCCTATCTGTGCTACGGACCCGGAGTGCCAGAACGGAGGAACTTGTGATTCGAATACGTGCAACTGTGCACCTGGGTACACTGGTTTAAACTGTGAACAAGGTAAGATAACTTCACACCTCCTATCTTTCAACTCAGGCCTCGCGTCTCCATTCGATTACCAATGAACAGTCACAACGTTAGTTGATTCCCAGCGACCAACTGACGCATATTGTAAATTTTGCTTGGATTTGTCTCATAAAAGAAGTTGAACACAACAAACAGCGTTGAGTGTAGGGGTCAAGGGCACAGAACTGTAAAATATGTAGAACGCTCATCCCAATTTACAATGCACAGATCGACGTGTGGCCGGGAGATACGCCTAAGTGCACTCCCCGTAATTTTGCTTACCCCTCGATCTTTTCAGCTCACAAATTTCAAGAATTCCAGCATGGCCTGTCGTTGAGAATAAAGCGACGAACGTTACAGAGGACTGACGTTAGGTGGCGGATATCATGTTATCACGTACGAGCGCTGGCCACATTTTTCGAACCACTATGAGCCTTCTACGTGTATTTACAGTTCTGTGGTCACGGCCACTGGCTTTATCGGGCAGGTAGTTCCATTATATGAATGAGTTAATTCCGACAATAATATACAATCAATCAAAGCAAGCTTAATACCAGAAGAAAGCTAACGATTAGATTATTCATTAGCTGCTCACCCTAAAGCCGTCTGACCACAATGGCATTAGAGGTTGCGAGAACGGCCGTAGTGTATTTAAACTCGCTATTGTGTTCTTCTCCAATGCAAAAAGAGACGACATCTAGCTGGATTTGTATGTTTTATCAGACAAAAGTACAGAGAAATTGCATATTATTTGTTTATTTTATACTTTTTGAAAAAACCCAAGTGCCTCCCGCTCATCCCAATGCTGAAAAGAAACGCACTTTTTTTTTAGAAAACTTCACTTTTTCAAGCAAAATTGCTTATTCGTTATATGCACGCAGGTAAGATTGAGCGGATGATACAACATTTCCATATGAACAAACTTTGCTCTAACATCTATCTTCACAAATGACAAAAGTGGGAATCAAGCTAAAGTGTGTCTAAAAGATTCGTCGTCGTTATCAATACGGTTATCTATATAATTACCATCATCATCGTGTTCAGGTGCCTTATCGTCGTTCTTATTGTCATTTAAAGGTCCTATCTGTGCTACGGACCCGGAGTGCCAGAACGGAGGAACTTGTGATTCGAATACGTGCAACTGTGCACCTGGGTACACTGGTTTAAACTGTGAACAAGGTAAGATTTGTTCATACCTTCTATCTTTCAACTCAGGCCTCGCGTCTCCATTCGATCCCCAATGAGCAGTCATAATGTTTGTTTAGTTCAATGGCCTTTATTAGTTTTTCAGCGACAAACTGACGAAAAAAGTTTGCTCTAATAATCATCCTACCTTCCAAAATGGCAAATGTGTAAATCAAGCTACAGTATCGGAAAATTCGTCGTCGTTATCAGTACAGTTATCTATATAATTACCATCATCATCGTGTTCAGGTTCTTTATCGTCGTTCTTATTGTCATTTAAAGGTCCTATCTGTGCTACGGACCCGGAGTGCCAGAACGGAGGAACTTGTGATTCGAATACGTGCAACTGTGCACCTGGGTACACTGGTTTAAACTGTGAACAAGGTAAGATAACTTCACACCTCCTATCTTTTAACTCAGGGCTGGCGTCTCCATTCGATTACCAATGAACAGTCACAACGTTAGTTGATTCCCAGCGACCAACAGACGCATATTGTAAATTTTGCTTGGATTTGTCTCATAAAAGAAGTTGAACACAACACACAGCGTTGAGTGTAGGGGTCACAGGCACAGAACTGTAAAATATGTAGGACGCTCATCCCAATTTACAATGCACAGATCGACGTGTGGCCGTTGAACGTGCCGGCCGGGAGATACGCCCGAGTGCACTCCCCATTATTTTGCTTACCCCTCGATCTTTTCAGCTCACAAATTTCAAGAATTCCAGCCTGGCTTGTCGTTGAGAATAAAGCGACGAACGCTACAGAGGACTGACGTAAGGTGGCGGATATCATGTTATCACGTACGAGCGCTGGCCACATTTTTCGAACCACTATGAGCCTTCTACGTATATTTACAGTTCTGTGGTCACAGCCACTGGCTTTATCGGCCAGGTAGTTCCATTATGCGAATGAGTTAATTCCGACAATAATATACAATCAATCAAAGCAAGCTTAATACCAGAAGAAAGCTAACGATTAGATTATTCATTAGCCGCTCACCCTAAAGCCGTCTGACCACAATTGAATGAGTGAGAGCTTGCGAAAACGGCCGTAGTGTGATTGAAACTCGCTATTTTGTTCTTCTCCAATGCAAAAAGAGACGACATCTAGCTGGATTTGTATGTTTTATCCGACAAAAAATAGAGAAAATTTGCATATTATTTTTTAATTTAATACTTTTTGAAAATTTAGCCAAATGCCTCCCGCTGTCCCTAATGCTGAAAAGAATATATGTAAAGCGTTTAGAGACATTTGTATTAATCCTCTATAAAAATTGAATATTATTATTATTATTATTAAACGCACTATTTAGAAAAATTCACTTTTGCAGGCAAAAATGCTTATTGTGCACGCAGGTTAGATTACGCGGATGATACAACGTTTCCATATGAACAAACTTTTCTCTAACATCTATCTTCACAAATGACAAAAGTGTGAATCAAGCTACAGTATCGAAAGATTCGTCGTCGTTATCAATACGGTTATATATATAATTATCATCATCATCGTGTTCAGGTTCTTTATCGTCGTTCTTATTGTCATTTAAAGATCCTATCTGTGCCACGGACCCGGAGTGCCAGAACGGAGGAACTTGTGATTCGAATATGTGCAACTGTGCACCTGGGTACACTGGTTCAAACTGTGAACAAGGTAAGATTTCTTCACATCCCCTATCTTTCAACTCAGGCCTCGCGTCTGTATCGATAACCAATGAGCAGTCATAATGTTAGTTTAGTTCAATGGCCTTGATTAGATGATTCCCAGGGACCAACTGACGAACAAAATTTGCTCTAAGAATCATCCAATTTTCCAAAAAAATAATAATAATATTTCGGAAAATTTTAACAATTGCCTGGATAGTGCCTACGGCCATAAACTGGTAGCTTCGACCATGAAAATCTCAGAATATGTAGTTGTGATATATAATTTCCAAACGGGAATAGCCATTAGGTCGATTATAGTCAAGAAATATTGTTTTATAGTTAAATTAATATTTGACCTCAGGGAACTATACAACATAAAGAATTAACTACCGGTAGACTTGAATATGTCACTTGACAAATTAGGTGATACGTATTCTAATTTACATGAAGAACGCATTTTTTACGATTTCATCTTATCTTTTGAAATCAATGTGTCAAGTTTCAACTGTGTATCATTGATCATTGTGGATCTATTGAAGGTATATTGAGACAATATGACCATCGACCCTGTACTATCGCCGGAATGGGTGGCAAGTGATTTAACCAATAGACCAAAATATTTCTCATGGAATTTACATGCAAAGCTGACACACGGCCTTTGCATAGTCGTAATTTCAACTTTCAATTGAAGATTTTGACATGGTTACAATATTTTATCAAAAAACAAAAGACATGTTCTTTTAGCCCACAGTCTAATGCTATTGTCACATTACCCAAAAGTAGCCTGCTCGGCGGCCGATTGGCGAGTTTTTAACCAATTCTGCCCGGCGGCTGCCTGGCCACCGAGCGGCAGCCGCCCAGGCACCGCTTTTAGGGCATCGGTCGGTCGCCGCTGAAGTTTTAGCGCGGAGTTAAAATTTGGGCTAAAAATACGCTCGGTGCCTGGGCGGTCGCCGCCCGGCACCGACCTAATTGCTGGGCGCGTATGTGCGATTCCTTAAATTCCAGCAGCGACCGAGCAGGCTACTGATCGGTCGGTCACTGCTCAGATTTGTGACCGTAGCTTTAGCTATGACACACCCAAATGTGGGAGTAAATAGAGCAGAAATAAGCGAGATACTGCTCAAAGAACAATGTCATGTGTAAACGAAATGGTCGTCGTTATCAATACGGTTATCTATATAATTACCATCATCATCGTGTTCACCTTCAATAGGCATAACACCCAAATAAAGAAAATTCTGACATCAATTTTCCATAAATATGCTGACGTCATAATATGCAAATTCGTTATTTGAGTTTCAAGGCCATTATCATGACGTCACGATGTACTTAATGGCCAAAGTAGACATGAAATCATATCTCCGACTCATACTCGGAAAAAAATTGGGAGTCTCCAGGCATCCTTAAGAGCTATAATGGATTTTGTATGGGCATGTTTTTGCCCATATATGCTTTGTATTACAAAAGCTCCCGCACACAGACTTTCATCTTGAACGCTCATTCTGTTATTATTAGTCATAAAGAGATAAACACGGTATCAAATTGTTGGGAAAAATATGGGAAATATTAAATAAGAAACAAAAATGGCGATTCTATATTGCGTACGGCCATGACGAACGGAAACGCGCGCGCATCCGCGTATGTGCGATTTTTTGACAAATGCTCAAAATGGCCTGAAACGTATGCAAAATGAATTTGAGACGATTCAGAGCATTTTGAAATTTTGCCCGCGGACGTACGCGCGCGTTTATTGACCTGAAATTGAGCGGACGGATATTGACCTTGATAACGATAAATATGAATGAAAAAGACTTTTCGTTATCAATATATGATCATGAGTTGATTTTCACAAAATGGCGCCTGGATGACGTCACAATGATTTTGAGTCAGTAGAAATGTTACGCAGTTCTAAGGTAGACTAAACTCTATCATCGTGGCAAGTTTCATGACAATGGCTTCATTAATTCTTGAGATATCCTGGGAACAAATTCATGGAATAACTAGACATGTAATACTTGTTTGGAACAATTTGTGACAAAATAGAGCAAAAATAAGCGAGATATTTCTATAAAAACAATGTCATGTAGATTCATGATGTGAACGAAATTCACGTTCCATAGGCATAACACGCAAATTAAATAAATTCTGACATGTGGCCTTTAGTCGAAATTTTCACTATGATGATGTCATCAAAATGAAAAATATTGGCTTCTGAGCTTGTAGAGAATTGTCTTATGCTACGGTCACATAGATTCGTACGAACGATAATTTCGTACGAATCTCCTTTTTCCATTGTCTGATGATGTCTCGATACACTTAATGGCCAAATGAGACATAAAATCATGTCTCCGACTCATATCTATCCAAATATTAAAAATAGGAGGTGCATCCTAAAGAGCAATAATGGATTTTGTATAGGCATGTTTTTGCCCATATCTGCTATGTATTACAAGAGCTCGCACGTACGGACATTTATGTTAAACAGACGCTCATTCCGTTATTAATGGTCATAAAGAGATATACATGGTATCAATTTGTTTGTAAAAAAATGTGGAATATTATGAAAGAAACAAAAACGGCGATTCTATGTTGCGTACGGTCACGATGAACTAAAACGCGCACGCATACGCGTGTGCGCGTTTTTTTAATAAATACTTAAAATGGCCTAAAATGTATGCAAATGAATTTTAGAAGATTTAGAGCATTTTTACGTGCGCGTTTATTGACCTGAAATTGACTTGACGAATATTGACCTAGATCATGATAAATATAAATGAGAAATGACTTTTGGTTATGAAGATATGATCATGAGTTGTTTTTCAGAAAATTTCACGAAATGGCGCCTAGATGACGTCATCATTCAAGAGCAAGGTTAAAAATGTTATTGTGATTTGTCCATATGCCTATACATATTTGTGCCAAATTTCAAGGCATTTGATTTAGCCATTTTCTTGTCCACAAAAAAGTGGGTCGAAATAAGAAAAATAAATAAATAAATAATAATAAAGGCAATTTAAACGAAAAGTATAAGGTGGTCTGTATTATATAAAGCCCACCTGATAAATAAATAAATAAATAATACAAATCTAGACGAAATCAATAGGTGATACATATAACTAAGTACATATCACCTAATTATTCACAATTTCATCACTTTAGACTCGACTTCAACCGCGACAACGATCACTGAATATTGCAAGATCCCACATGCTTCTAATATGTTCATTTGAACCAAATTCATGACCCCATACCAAAACACAGACTACCTCAACGGTCTTTAGTGACGAATTCAAATTCTTGTTTTTTTTATTTTTTGTAGCCTTGTCTCATTGCTTGAATACCAAATGTGTTGCTTTGTTTTAAAAAATCTGATGCAGTAAAATATTTCATATGTATCATTCAAGGTGAAATATTAGTGCTGTATTGATTGTCCCACAGCCGGGAATATTCAACATTCCTCTAATTAAAACTAATTTTACATAATCCCTTAATAAAAGAATGATAGTATTTCATGAACAATTGTGGGCCATAATTGATGTAAAGTCAAGCTGTGGGCGGAAGAGAAGAACACTTTATATTTGCTATGTCTAAAAGAATAATATTTCCTGGAGCGGTTTTGTCTTTAAGCCGTCTGGTGATGATCTGAATTATGGAGAGAGAGAAAGGGTAGCACAGTTAAGTTATGCATAATGGTAATTACTTTTTTGTTCATATTTTGAAATGAATTCCTTTTATTATTCCTGTATTTTTCTCCATCCGTTTTTTTTAAAGGATTCATCGTATTGGTTAAATAGGATTTGGGTTTTCAGGGGTAGGGAATTGATAAAAACTCATTGTCATGGTACTCTGGGATCTTGATTATGTTTAATGTATCGAAACATTCTTCTAACTCTTACCTCATCAACAAGAAGAAAACAATAGAGTGAACACTATTGCAAAGTCCTTAGAGTAATCAACTCAAGGGTTCTTGAAGTATCTTCTTGTTTATCCGATAAAGATTATGTTGCAATAACGTAACAGTTCATCAGTGGTGGTGGTTATTTTACCTGACTGCTAAGAAATCATGAATGCTTGTTAGTAAACAACCAGAAGACCAAAATGTTGGTTATCGACAAAGCTACTGGAATTTCCCTAAAATAATTTTTCGAAAGTCTTGATCGTGTAAAGGTAAAAAAAAAGGCCTATACTCATGAAAAAAAAGGATAAAACTACCGCATTTGGACAAATTTAAATACATCATTCTCGTTATCAGTAGCGTATATACGGGGTGCAGAGAAGAAGCAAGGGTCCCGAGTCTCGCTTGCGGGGGGCGCAAATATGCAAAAGAAAGGAGAAAGTGAAGAAATGAATAAAATTAGGAGAGCCTGTATTTGTAAGGTATATATACCCCCAATCCAGGATAAAGTGTATAAGAAACAGCGCTTTCATAAAATAGGAAAATTGTGTATAGCTCTGTCGGTTTGCTCCCTCGCATATTATTATAGGCCTATGATACTTTAGGATCTGGTAATTCTGGACCCATAATGTGGAATGTAGTGTCTTACTATAGTGTTTGAAGGGTTTAACTTCTAACTCGCCGTATACAGTGTTTCAAAGAATACGGATTTCATCAAGATCTATTTGAATTTTGCGCCCACTCCCCAGGATAATGCATATAATTTTTTTAGAGAACATGTTAGCATTGTGGCAACGCTTTTTTTTAAAGCACAATTTATCTAGAATTGTCAGAAGTGAGAACGAAGGAAAAAAAAAGAAAATTCCAAAGATCAGACTCGTTTGGGAGTACTCATCCTAATTTTAACATATTTATTTTATAACAATATTTCTGGGATACTTTAAAAATATTCACTCACAAATTTAACATCTTACTAACCCTTCAAGACTCTGCCCTATTTTCCAAAGGATATTGGAAACGTTAAGCAGCAACACTTCCTTCCCCCCTCCTGAATCACCGAGCAAGGTATGGCAACATAATTATGTATAGTTAACACCTCATGTCTTTACATCATATCAATAATGATACCTTATCAAACTTCCATCACTACAGCGACTACCCCGGCCACAAGAATGCAAGGGGTAAGTGAAATGAAATTTTCTCATGCTTGATGGGGAGAAGCTTTTTCATTATTATACACGTTTCTTTTGGCTATGTATTTGCGTTTACCAATAATAATGATCTAAAAATGTATAATTATTTTTTAGGAAGGTCTATGAAAGTGATTAGTTATGAAAGAACCTTTTACCTTCGTGCTTGTATAAGGCATTGTCTTGTTGCCTACAGAATACATTTGATTGATATTCTGAACGAAAGCATTTTTTGTTTTTAAGAAAAACAGAAATTCATTGCTTAGAAAATATTTTACAATTTTGTTACATTTTTTTGAATTGTTTACATTTTTTTGTCACCAAATACAATTTTTGTATTAATATAGTTTGGGTTTACCTTTGATGTGGAACATGGAAGAGAGGGCATTTGTTAATTTTTAGCGATACATGCTGACCACGTCTCCAAGTATAATTAATTAGATAATCCATTCTTGAAACTAATAACATGGGCATTTAACTGTTCCTTGCAGACTCTTCAATGTTATTCTTGTTTGACTAACTCCACAACGGATGTTTGCTCTACTGCTGATGACCTTGCAAGCGGTTCCGGAGTACTAACTCCTACATGCTATGAAGGACAGCGTTGTTGGGTATTCAAATACTTTGAAATTTATATTTTTCTTCACAGGTTTGATCTGGCATGTGTATATAGTTTGGTATTATAACAGAAAATACAATGAGGATATATTTCTAAACTGATGGTGTGAAACAGAAGACACAAATTGATACAAAGTAAACATTAATTTTCACCTAAGCTTATGTTGTGTCTCATCTGTTTATTTATTTCGTCCTCATACATGTAAACTCAGGGTAAGTGATAGTTTTGTCCATTTTGGGGGGGTTTTAATTTTTTTTCTTCTCTCTTTTGCTTTAATTTTTTTTATCAAAGAAAAAAATAATGAAATACATTACAAAGCAAGAGAACAATTTTTCAGTGGGATGTCTATAAAAAACAATGGACAAAAACATTAGTTAACTGGATGAGGGAAAAAGCTGTGCGATTCGTATTTTCAAGAAATCAAAAGATGAAAATAAAAATGTTACAATATCGTTAAAAAAAATACTACCAAAAACTCAACTAGGTACGAACGATCAAGTTACATAGCTATCATAAAACTTCTTCATCTTTTGCAGACTGATCATTATGAGAACTCATCACACACGGTTGTGTCGCGTGGATGCACAGATGACCAATGCAATACATATCATGAAGGTGGTGGACCTTACTGCACTATGGCTAATGGTGTTACCATTTGCACATCCTGTTGTACTGAATCAAAATGCAACGACAACAAATCCAACTCTGAGGGTCTCACTTGTAGCTGTGTGACATGGCTGACATCTCTTTTCTCAGTGGTCATCATGCTCATCACTTATAGAACCTAAATGAACTCAAATGTCAAAAGCTGTTCTCATATTACCATTTATTATAACAGGCCAAAATATGCCAACTCCATTCACAATCATAATGTTAATACATTGTATATTGACTTTTGTAATTGATGAAAGACTAATGGTTGAACAGACTAGCTCATTTTGATAAATTATACAGACAATAAGATTCTCAATGTGAAATTTGAAATATGAATTTTTAAAATTCAAATATGGCAAGCACTTATGTACTCAATGAAATGTATTTCTAATGATTAAAGTAATAATTATATCAATAACTATACTACTACTACTACTACTACTACTACTCATAATAATAATAACGATACTAACAACAACCAGGATAGTCTTGTCAGATAAACGCACGATAACGCAAAATCATATTTATTATTTATTATTGGCCACTAAGCATGTTAATAAATCAGAAAAATTAGCAATATTGCGATGTACAAATTCAAATAATAACACTTTAAAAAGGAAGCAACTATTTCTTACAACCAAACCATCAGTGTTTGCAAAAGTAAGTAACAGACTTTTGTTTTATAAATAGGTATTGATTGAATAAAGCATTGAATTGAAAATAAATGAAATCAATTTTAGATTTGGTAAGATTTCTTCTATTGTACATATTTATCATTAGAAAAGTATAGAATAGCTTTAATGTACTATTCACGTTAAACAAGTCTTAATCCGTCCTGAATTTTCTGCATGGACATATTCTTAAAAATACATTAAAATACAGAATAAAGACGTTCAAAAACGATTGATAGTACCATGAAGTTTTCAAATTTTTGGTAGATTTTGTGCCCTTACCAAATGTTATATAAACAATGAGTGGAAAGTATTTGATTAAATTAAATTTTGTATTATTGGAAAAAACAATGTGACATTGTTTTTATGTGAGTTTCAACAAATTTGATAGAACACTGTTTAATATTCTAATTACATTAAAATTTGAATGACACAAATGACCTGGGTATCAGGCTTTTATAGCTTGCTTCCATGATGTGTTTTCTCTTATATCAATGTAGTGTATGTATCAATCAGCTAATGATTGCCACTTTTGCCAGTACGTTTATGTAGACCTGAAAGGTATGAAAACTACTCACAAACAGACACATGGATGTTGTAAAAATATTCGCTTTTCACTTTATCAACCAATACACAGGTAGAACACTTATGAATGAATTGTATTCATTGCCTGATAAAACTGTTTAACAGCTGGGAATGGAAATGTATTTTGTAGTCTTGGAATCGGGAGGAAGCTTCATACATGATATTTATGAGGAGCTGGTAAGATGAACACAATTGTTGTCATATTGCACTACATAAACGTATTGGGGGAAAACTGCCTTCAGCACTTTACATCTGTAATCGTTATTGATTTAATACATAAAGGAAGACATTGACGAAATGAAACAAACAGATGTTTTTCATCGTATTTTCTCCATTCAACATGACCAAGGATAATTGTACTTTTAAACTATAAGAGCGCTTAAAAAAAATCAATTATTTGTGCAAGTCCGCGAGGTTAGGGGAATACCAACTGGTAGCGAATTGAGTTCATTAAGAAGAGAGATATGAAATATGCCTACAAACTAAAGTTACTATACCATATACTAGAAAGTTGTAGTTCAGTCTTCTATTGTATAGTTATGTTTAGTGTTAACAGTGTCAAATTTGTTATGTATCTTCCTAACATTTTCTATGGTATGCTCGATCACCTTGATTGATTCGTCTCAACTTTGACTTTGTTGTTCTCTGTTAAAAAGCTGCTTATCTGTACAAACAAGTATGAAGTTATTGATGTTTTTGATGCAGAGCTATTTTCTTAATAATTTGATACAAATTTAACGATGGGGAAGAGTGTATTTCATTCGGGTTGTACATGTTTTTGATAATATGTCATAATGCTGAAACCACTAGAGCTTTCACATTGCAATGGATGTACATAATCTAAAATATACATTAAATTGTTACGTATGAATGTATTGTCAATTCATTTTCCTTTAATGTTCTAAATAAAGTTTGGATTGAGGTGTCATTAAGCATAGTTAACGTGGACTTATTTCTTTAGAATAATGAAACCAAATGTTCTTACTTTATCCACTTATATGAACAAGTCCGTGATCCTAGAATGTAATTGGTCTTAGGGATGAGAGCCCCCAAGACCAACAATGTCGGTCTCACAGGCCTTTTGACATCTTTTTTGAGGAATCACTAAACCAACAGACCATTATACCGACAATGTCAGTCTCGTGGACCTTCTGACAACGTTTCAAGGGTTCACCAGACTGACGCACGACGAGACTGATATTCTTTGTTGGTCTTATGGGCTGTCTGTCTACTGGGATGGCCCCAATATGACCAAAGAGACCGAGAGGTCATGTAGCTGACAACCTAAGAGACCAACAAATTGTCAAGTTAAGATTGATGCCCATGCAAAAAAAATTTGACCGAATTGATGGTTCCTTGAAATGTCCGATCAGTCACAGGATGAATGTCTTTGTCATCTTGAACATGCATTGTAGACGACCGATCAGTGACAGGATGACCGTCTTAAAGAATCGAGGGACTCATGTTCAATTATAGTCGTACAGGAAATGTCAAGAGCTCATCAAGCATGTCACGAATAGCACAATCTGAAGGATACAGGGACATGAGGATCTTACTCTAGCAAAAACAAATGGCCGTTCCATGGAAAGAAGTTGACATCAGCTTCTGTGAACCAAAAAAAGAAATGCAGCGATCGACACAAAATACAAAAGAGCAAAATATGAGTCATATAAAATGATATAAATATTTCATCTAGTACTCTAAGCTGTCATAACCTGCTCGTTTCGTCTTAAAGTTTTGTTGTGGATGTGACCACCATTGCCAATATGATGTTTAGTAATTATTTACACATCAAGAAAGCACTGAATTTATAAATACCAAATATTTTGTAATTGCACGCCATAAAAACAAACGTAAGCATCTAAAACTTAGTATTTGAGCTTCTAGTTCGATTGTAATGCAATCTCAGTGGCGGATCCAGGGGGGGGGGGGGGGGCGGGGGGCCCGAGCCCCCCCCCCCCCCCTTGAGAAAAAATTCATGCAAAATCACGCGATTTTTACCTTTTTGGGGGGTTGGCCCCCCCCCCCCCCCCCCTTGGCGCTCAAGGGGGGGGGGGTGCAAATTTTAAAATTTTCGAGGACCCAAAAAAAAAATGTGCTCACTACCCCCCCCCCCCCCAAAAAAAAAAGTTTCCGCTTACCCAACATCCCTCCCCCCCCCCCCCCCCCCCCCCCCCCCAACTGAGCGACTTTTCGGCCGGAGCGATTTTCAAATTTTGGGGAGCAAAAAAAAAAAAGTTGGGCCCCCTCCCCTAAGAAATCCTGGATCCGCGCCTGTGCAATCTGGTCCATGTTATATGTTAGACATACAAATTTAGTATTGAAAAGGTATAATAAGATATTGATACGGACAAAAAAGGCGAGTTCAACACGGCCCGCGGGTCACAATGACGTCACAATGCGGGGAATTTGACACTCAAAATTTGCGTAGGTCATTAACCTACATCAGTGATCCCGTTTACATGACATAAAATTGCCGCGTTGAGCACGGCTCGCGGGTTGAACTGCCATTCTGACGGATCCACAATGGCGGGTTCTACACGGCTCACGGATCACTAAGCTCCCGTTTATATGACATAAAATTGCCGGGTTGAGCAACGGCTCGCGTGTTCAATCCCCCGAGCCGAGTCACTGGGTACTATTTTGCGCATTTTTTTTTACCCGTATTCAACGTCAAATAAAATAATTATTTGAAAAGAAGGGCTTGAGGTCAAAATTATTTGAAATACTTTCGTCTTGTACAGAGAATCATTGTTTGTTGTGTTTTTGTTAAATAATGTTATACTTTTGGTATTAATTTGTGCCTTTGTATTGGCTGTTTTGTAATCATATAATCATTCTGAGATACATTGGACCCCTTGCTTGATTGGCCCATCGGAGCCCTGAGTGAGAATTTCCTTTACTTGTAAGATGTTTGGTGATATTATTGTTCACGTTCTGGATCTTAGGTGATACATATATTATACAAATAAACAATACCATTCGAGAGTCTAGCAAAAAAAAATGAGCAAATGAAGAGGCATAAATAGTAACTTTCCCGAGGGTAAATTTATATCAACATTACCTCGAGGAAAAGTTAATAATTATGCCTCTGAAAGCTCATAATTGCTAGAGCAAAGAAATGCATTGTTTATATGTTTTATATCCTTCATGAGCATCTTACTATTTAAAAAACTATTACAAGGCCTGCATTGTTTTCTTGCTGTAGTATTCACCGTTTCGATTCCGAGCTCCGCAGCGTAGCTCTGCGAGAGAAGGAGGTCTAACTGGCTTCGTTATCCACAGGATCATCATCAAAATCGGCTTTTATTTCCTTACAAAAATCCTGAAATACAGAAGTCCGTACCTGATCTGTTTCTTCATGATTTTGCTGTCACTTCTTTCATTAAAATTCAACAATGCTTCAACATTTAACAGGTGAATACGGGGATAGTCTGCAGCCAATTTGTCGAACTATGTTTTTCAGCTGCTTTTCTCAATGAGCTATCCTACGCGCACGCGGCGCCGAAACTCTTCCGATGGCTATGTACACGATACCGGCTGAAGAAACTTCAAGCCGGAGATTTTGCTTGCGCGCTTGTTGCACTCTAAACATTGAAGAAATGTAGATCCCAGAAATATCGGTGATAGGTGGAAAACGTGGATTCCGGAATTTACTATACCACGCCAAATAGTAAATTTTCTCACGCTCTCAAATTTATAGTGAAACTATCCCTTTTTCGTGCTCTGTACCAGAAATATTTCAACTATTTTTAGGTTGCTATTATCATCATTATTATGTATGGTAGAAGAATTAGTATTTGTGGGTATTTTGAGGGAGTTTAAAAAATTATTCTTTAAATTTTCAATTTCATTAAATTTTTGAAAAGTTAAAATGTATAAAAATACAATTATTTCCTCTTTAAAAAAAAATGTTAACAAAATGTTGCAGGATATAAAACATATATGCCATGCTTTCTTTTCGAGGTACTGGGTAAACTATGGGCCTCAGTGACTACAAACTCCTATTTTCTCAGCAAATAGTGGAGTCACCTCTTGCCCATAGTTTTAACCAGAACCTCTCAAGACAGTGTATAACATGCATACGTGTTCCTGTTATGATCCCTTTTCAATGTCTATACATGGGTAGTAACGCGTTCATGTTTTTGTATATGGCACAGACATCCCATATCCCTATATTTATCTCCATGCATTTTGTACGAATGAATGAATCAATCAGGTCACCCAATCTCACCTATACACACACACGAGTATCATGAACCAGAAGGAATAAAACACTGCTTTAACGCACTGTAAACCCATTGGACAATATTACTGGCCAATGATTGTCCAATATTTCATTCGTTTTTGGTAAGAAAGCGCGCCTCTGATTGGCTATCGATAGGTTGCCCACGTTGTATTCATGGCAATGAGAAAACAGGGGGCGTGGCTTTGGTAGAAGTGATATATAAATTGTGCAAAATCATATCTTTGCTCATAATCACATATTTCAACCTGTTAGGAACTTCTAAGGACAGATTCTATTAGGATAACATACATACCAGAGTCAAATAGAGGTAAGTGCAATTCAGTATTATTACCGTTATCATTTCCAGTTGTATTGGTTTCTCATTTACACGTGCAAGTAGTTGCCTTGTAATGACCATAGCAACGGTTGGACAGTTCTCTTTAAAGTTATTTGCAAACTTATAACAAAAAATAACACTCGATTTTGACAAATTTAGGCTAACTGTGATCAGTGAATACAGGCTTTGTGTCTCTTCAGGTTTTATAAAAGTACTTAAAATCAATACAGTGTTCGATATATCCATACTTGTTTTATTCAATCGTGAAGCCTATTTCTTTCTCCATCACAAAATCCCGATTCAGAACCTATATTCATAAGTGAACGTACGTTGGCAATCATCTTTTGTTATCATCACTCATCTGAACTCTACAGGATGATTAAATTAAATCTCAAAATTTCTAAAAAAGAAACAAATTCCCCAATGTATGCAGAAATTGTTACATTTCTTATACTGTAGATATAAAGCTGCTCAGATTACATAAGAATGTTTTTTCTTGGAGCTCGATTTCTTAAACACTGAATTGAAAAAAAATATGTAAGCAGGCTTCTCCCCATGCTGGTATCAACTGTAATGAATTTTGTCTTGTTTCTGTCTGTGCGGACTGCGGAGAAGAAAACCTAATAAAATGACTAGCCCTTGTCGATGGCCCTCGCGTAAATTCTTGCAAGCGAAGCGACCCAGAGAAACCAAGCTAGCGCTCGGTTTCTCTGGGTCACTTCGCTCGCCAGAATTACGGACTCCAACAACGCGAGGGCCATCGCCAAGAGGCTACTAACTGACTGGAATATGTACATGTTTTATTTACCGTATCGACAATAGAGGGCGCTGTATAATTTATTTTCTTATACTTAGTTGAGTTCAGCCCTCGTCATTCAATTATAATAATATCAGGCACTATGGTAGGTATTTGGTCTTTCTTAGAGTTCCCGTTATGCTTCCGATGATTTAGGTGCTTAAGTATTATGCATAATACGATTTTGTTAATCTTAGACCACTTCAATATCATATTTTAGACATAGTCACTACTTCTGTTACGAAAAATACCGAGAAAATCGATATGTTTGAACAGCGTGGCAATCAACACGTTCATAATTTTAAATAACGTAAACAAGCCTTTATTTGAAGAAAATCCATCTAACAGTCAGGTATATATCATATGCATTTGCCCCTGTAATATGACCGTCACTTTGTTATTTTGCACATTATTTATATTATATGATTGATTGTTAGTAATATATATTTTTTCATATCTTCCTTTTTTTGTTGGCTTGGACCCCTTTTGAAAAACAGCTGACAGGGGCAATCCAATCCATGAGCGGGAAAGTGATGAAATCAAATAAAATAAAATCAAGTCTTAATTTACG